CAGACCCAGGATGAAAAGTCAAGAGTGTGGCAAATTTGTATGGTCGTGCTCAGGATGAGGGCCAGGGTCAATTTCAGGATCAGGGTCAAAGTCAGGGTCAGGGTCAGGGTCAGGATCAGGAGTGGGTGTCAACCTGAGCCAGGGTAAGGGGGGGATGGTTTCAGAGTCAGGCTGAGAGTCTGGTTCAAGTCCAGCATAGGTTTCAAGGAAACTTCAGGGACATAGTGAAGGTATGTGTGAGAGTTATTGCAGAGTCACAGTCAGGGTCAGGTAAATGTCAAGTTTGTGGTCATCATGACAGTTTTGATAAGGCTGAGATTCAGGCCAGGATAAAGATTAAGTTCAGTGCTGGTGTAGGGTTAGCTCCAATTGTAGGATCAGGGTAAAAATGAAACTGAAGGCAAAGATGAGCATGAGGGTCAGGGTCAAGTACAGAATCAGGGTCAGGGTGAGAATTAGATAGAGTGTCTAAATGAGAATCAGAATCACAGTCATGGTGATTGTCATGACCAGAAAGACACGAGTTAAGAGTGAGCATTAGCCCTGGCTGGTGTGGCTCAGTGGATTGAATGCTGACCTGGGAACCAAAGAGTCACCAGTTCAATTTCCAGTCTAGTGTCAGAGACACCGGCCCACAGTGTCCACGGTGTTATGGATGAGACAAAATAAATTCAAATGGACTACTGAGTCCTGTGGAGGAAAAGGGATGGCATGGCTACTCTCTCAAGGGGAGAGTACATCGGAGCAGCCTGGCCACTCAGAGCATCCTGACCCTTGCCTTGACAAGCTTTTATTAGTTTTCTAATAACATACATTGAAGAAGGTTTTTATTCATTATACTTAGATTTGCTTTAGGTGATTACTTTTTACAGATAGCAACAGAAGGGATGTTACTGATTACTTCTTACAGATTACCAAGGAAAAAATGTTGCAAATGCAAGGGAACGATAAGAGTAACAGGTCTGGTTACACTTCATTCCTTGGGAGAATTAGCACAGACTTCAGGAAGTTACTTTAAAAATATGCAGCAAGTACTCACCGCCTGAACTCAGAGTGAGGGAGTTTTAGCAGGAGCAAGTCACAAAGCAGCCGAGGTATAATGCAGGCCTGATTCCCCATGGGAGAACTTCATGGGCGTGGTCCTGCATACTGACTTGCTCCCCACTGGTTTTCCACATGGGGGCTGAGCTATATTTCCAGACCTCGCAAAGCGGTGCCCTATAGTCTAGAGCACATGCCTGGGTTGCAGGCCAGGTCCCCAGCGGGGGATGTACAAGAGGCAACCACACATTGATGTTTCTTTCCCTTTCTTTCCCCCTCCCTTCCTTTCTCTGAAAAAATTAAAAATAAGCAAAATCTTTAAGAAAAACAAAAGAGTGAATGTCACAGTGAGGTTCAGGCATAGAGCAGAAGGAGCACCAAAAGTAGCACCAGAATGGGTGTGAATCAAGATTAGAGTGCATATATACCTCAGGGTCAGAGTCATGGTCATGATCAGTGTCTAGGTAAAACTTAGGATCAGAGTCAGGATCATGGTGAGAGTGCCAGTGTGACCATTGACTAAGGGTCAGGTGACTAGAGTTCAGTGTCAGTGTGAAAGCCAGGACATGATGAGGGTCAGGGTGGGATTAGCATCAGAGTGGCATGATGGTCATACTGAAGTCATAGTCAGGGTCTGCATCAGGTTGAATGTCATGTTAGTGTAATAGCCAAGGTCATTTTGAGGGTCCAGGTCAAGGTAAGTATGGGGAAGTAGTTCAAGGTCAGGGTGAGGTTAAGAAATCAGTGTCAGGATTATCATCAAGGGAAAAGTCAGGGTGAGGGTCAGAGTCAGCATCCTTGTTTCAGGGTCAAGGTGAGATTCGGTCGTGTACAATGTGAAGTTAAGGGTTAGAATCTAAGTCAGACACAGGGTAAGGCATGAGGGCCAAAGTCAGGTTAGGGTCAGAGTGCTTATGTGTATCAGGCTCAGAGTCAACTTCAGAGTCCGTGTTTTGTCAGGGTTAGTATCAGGGTCAGGTTGAAGATCAGATTCAGTTTAAATTTTGAGGTGTGGGGAGTTCAGAATCAGAGTCAGAGTCATATCAGAGATCAGTTTGAGGGTGAGTCAGGGTGATTATTAGTGTCAGAGACATGGTCAGTATCAGCATCAGACTGAGTGTCTGAGAGAAGGCAAGTGTCAGAACTGGGTGGGGTTGAAGCTCAGACCAAGGTCAAGAGGATGAAGATAGGTTCAAGGACAGAATGAGAATAGATTCAGAGTCCAGTTCAGGGTCAGGATCAGGTTGGTCAGGTTCAGCACGCAGTTCAGAGTAATAATCAGCTTAACGGTCAGTGTAAGGGTGAGTGTGAAGGTCTAGATCAGAGTAAAGTTGAATATCAGTTTTGGTTTAGATTCAGTCTGCAGTTCCAATAAGGGTCAGGGTATGGGTCAGGTGTATAATGAAGTTGAAGGTAAGGGTCTGAGGCAGGTCAGGGTATGGATGAGAGTCAGTACAAATGTCAGATTCTCAGTGACAAAGGTCAGATTGAGGATGAGTGTCATGGTCTTGGTTAGAGCCAGAAAGAGGGGTATAGGGGTATAGCGGGGTTCAGAGTATGTGTCATATTCACAACCAGGGTCACAGGACAGGCAGATTCAGGGTAAAGGTAAGGATTGGGTTGAGGGGCAGGGGCAGTGTCAGGATGAAGGTCATTGTCAGGACAGCTTGAGAGGTAAGGTCAGGATCAGAGTCCCAGTGGTAGCAGTGTCAGGATCAGCTTCAGGGTCAAAGTCAGAGTGTTGGTCAGTGTCAGGCTGATGATCACAGTGAAGCTAAGGATCAGTTTCAGAATCAGAGTCAGTCTGTACTTAGGGCCTCAGGACTTATCGGGGTCAATAAGTGGGTGAAGATAACGGTCATGGTTAGGGTCAGGGACATGCTCAAAGTTACTCAGTGTCACAGTTAGTGTAGGGTCATAGTGAGGGTCAACTTCAGGGTTAGGGTCAGGATAAAAATTCAGGTTGAGGTTCAAAGTCAAGGTAAAAGTTTGGGTCAGGTAAAGTTCTCAGTCTTCAGCATCAGGATCAGTGTCAGGGTGAAAATGAGAGACAATGTCAGTGTGAAGCTCACACTTACCCCATTGGGAGGGAAAGGGTATCTATATCATGCTCAGGATAAAAGTCAAGTGGGATGGGGTGAGGGTCAGGGTGAAGTCAAAGGTGAGGTTTAAATTCAGAGTCAGCTCTAAGGTCAGGGTCAATATTAGAATGAGGATAAGGGCAAGGTTATGGCTATATTTCACCTTCTGTTTACAATCTTATTTCAAGTATTAATTCAGGTATGTTGACAGGTACTGCTGTCAAAGTAAAGGAAACATTATGCTTCCTGCTAACTCTGGTTAATTTTTCTGGAGAAACAATAATGGATTTGGGGTACTCACTGGTCTGGTCATTTAATTTTATTATTATGAGCCATCAGATGCTGATGGTTCATAATATATCTCTGAAAAATCAAAATATTCCAAATTTTACTTCTTTGTAGATTCAAGACCAGATGCTTGGGTAATCAGCACGTGAAAACATGTAGTGAAGTTTAACAGGTTTCTGTCCTTAAAGTTTGTTTTGGAATTTTTCAATTTCATACAGCTTATGAAATAGTTAGAATGAAATTTAGATGTTGAACTTCCCACTTACTACAACATACCTGGTAATTAGTCATCTTCCTTTGTCTGAGCATTTACGAAATTATCAGCCTGCAGCTCCAGAGGCTGGATAGTTCCACATTTTGGGGATGTTTATCTTCATCAATTGAGCCAAAGCGGCTTCTGGGCTTTTCAGCTGCACCTTATACAGCATTGGAGCAAATCTAATGCTTTTTAAACAGGGTTCCTTGATCTCTCTACTTCACCCCTACACAGTACTCAGGTCTTTTTGCAAAGGTGATGCTATTGACTACTGTCCCACCCCAACAGTCCAGGGGCCCATTAATGGGCTAAGATTTTTTTCTGGGGTGTGCAGTGGGAAGGCCCTGGCCTCCACATAAGCCACCAATCGCACTTCAGAGGTGTTGGCGTCCTGTTTCCCTGGGAGGTCGCAATTGTCTTGCTGGGTCTGTGGCCACCTCACACTGGTTAGGGGCACTGAGCTAGTTCCCTTTGGATCTTGAGCCAGACTACAGAGACCCCAAAACCAAAAGGCAGAGGTGGGAGTGCACGGATACGAAATGAAAGCTTGCTGGAAGTTGGGATAAGAAAACAAGCCCTCTCAGCTTCATACCTTTCCCGATGAAGAGGCAAAATAGCAAATGGCCCAAAGAGAGCTGAATTCGCTCCCTGGATGCTTGCCGGCCTCTTAGGCCTGCCCCTCCTGCCCGCCACCTTGAGCCCTCCCCCCTCCCAGCCCTACCACACTTGGAGGCTTTACTTAGAGATAGTACAGTCAGTGGGTCCCTGGTTCTAACAACTTCATTTTGTTTTGTTTAAGCTCGTGAGCTTGGTTCCACCCCAGAACCCTAAAATAAGGAAGCTTAAGGTCTGGAGGTCAAAGAGAAAGCAGGTCTAGCCTGGGGAATGACAAAGGATGAGTCTGCGAAGAGGTGGGACAGGGGAAAATCTGCCTCCAATCCTGGCATCTGGGACTAAGGAGTGATGGAGACAAAGGTGTTCTCCCCTGAAAAACAGTGCAGGAGATTGGAAAATTGAGGTGAGCGGACTCTTGCTTGATTTCATCCAGCACTGAATGAACAAGCCTGGGAGACCTCCAATTACTGTCTTCTAGACAAGCACATTACTGGACCACAATTACTGGAGAACTTCTGTCTCCCTCTTTTTTCAATGACCCCTGACCCCAGCACTTTCTCTTTAGTGCCTGTCTCCCTGGCCCCTCTTTTAGGCTATTTTGGTACTTCCCAGTAGCTACTTTATTAAATCTCCAAGATCATATCTAGGAAGCAGAACTGAAGGAAAGTCACCAACTGCTTCCACAAGTCAAGGACAGACAACGAAAGGAAAGCCACGAAGACAGCCAAACCAGTGTTGGTCTTTATTGAGGCGTCAAGGTAGAGTAACACCAAGAAGGAGCAGAGCCTGAGGACTTGAAGCATACAGATGCAGGAATTAAGGGTTTCTTGGAAATGCAGGCCTCAGCCTCCAGGCTAGGAGAAAAGCACTGGATGATGCAGGTGCTCACAAGGACTTCAGGAATGCCCTATATTTGTCCAGGAAAGGGACAGACAGGGTCTTCAGCTCTTGCCGGAGTTCCTCCAGAGCCCTGTCCTGCTCTTCCTGCTCTCCTGTCACCTGCTGCCTGTAATAGTTGATGTACAAGTTTACCCAGTCATCCACCATAGTCACCATGGCTTCTTCAGAGACAAGAGGTTCACTGAAGACCTGGGGGAGGGGGAGAGGGAGGGAGAGAAGGAGGTTAGCGATGTGAGTCAGGAGTAACCCACAGACTCTGCCATCCTCTTTTCTCTGATTGGTATTTCCTGTCTCTAGTTGTTTCTATTAACTCTCCCAGCTCCAAATTATTCTCTCTTCTCTGCCCTCACCCACCCTTCAACACACTAGTCCTGTCTTTTGAAACAGATTACTTGGACTTACCTGCTGATTTAGCAAAGCATTAAATTCCTTTATTCCTGTGGAAATGAGATCTTTATTAGCCTGAAGAAGAGCCATCTGCCTGTTTAGAGAAAGAAAAATTTAAGTATCCTTTTCCCTCATTTCTGGGTATTTCCCGCAATTCCCTAGCTCCACTTAAAAATTCCTGGTACCCTGCAAGGTCAGCTCCCCCCCACCCCCACCCCGATACCTTTCAAATCCTACCCTGCTCTGAAATCATGTTTCTTCCAGGTTTGCTCACCTTTAGGTCCAGCAGTGCTATTATGCCTCACCCACACTTTTCAGGGTATGTATGTTTCTCTGTGCTAACCTAGATGTAAGCAAGGAGTTAAGTGTCAGTCTAAGAGGAAAACGCCCTGCATCTAGGTCCTGAGGAGGAGTGATAGTCAGCCTGGGGAGTGGAAGGAGGGAGAGGCTCCCCTGAAGTGAGAAAGATAGCAAGGCCACAAAAACAGATAAGTGGAGAGGCCCAGGAAGCCAAACCAGGGCCAGATCCTTGCCCTCTGCCCCACACCACAGTATCCAGGTTCCAAATGCTCACAAAACTAAGATTAACTGAGTTGACCAGTTCATAGATGATATCTTATTAGCAGCTTACATTATTTTTACCACTGATGCCAGGTACTGTTTCAAGGATCTGTTAAGGTATTTATTCGTGTAAAAAGTCCTATTAGGCAGCTACTGGTTATTCACAATTTGCAGATGAGCTGTCTGTAAGATATGGGGACTGAACTCTATCTACCACGCTGTGTTCTGCAAGAATGGAGATGGAGATGTCTCGTTCTCTAACATATCACTAGGTACTCAACAAAGTAGAAATACTCTTTTTCTTCCTTTAAATATTTTCCTAATGTTTTCTAGTTTTAGATTTTCTTCAAATTTCAAAACGTCACCCTAATTGAGATGAGTGAAACATAACAAAAAATGTACTCTGAAAAAGGGGATTGTTTTTGTTCCCTTCCTCTACAAAGTAACCAGCATTAAAGATGTGTGCATTTCCTGTTACATCTTTCTGCATTCAAAATCCAACATTCAAACTTCACAGCACCTTTACACTCATAGATATTTACTGATTTTTTTCATTTATAGCATTTTCTTAACATATAACAAAATTGAGCACTTTTTGGTGTATAATTTGTGAATTTTAATACATAGATTCATGTAACCACTACCACAATCAGGATACAGAACACTTCCATCACCCCAAAAAACTCCTTCCTGCTACCGCTTTGTAGTCACCTCCAGCCCCCTCACTAAACCTTACCAAGCACTGACCTGTTCCCCATCACAACAGTTCCTCGTTTGGGAGGATATCCTATAATGGAATCATATAGCACATAACCTTTAGGACTGGCTTCTTTCACTCAGAACGACACCTTTAAGATTTATCCACGTTGTTGCAAGTAGCAGTGGGCATTCCATCTCACTGCTGAGCGTGCATCCCGTGGACACACTCCTGTTTATCATTCACCCACTGACGGACAACCGGATTGATCACAGTTTGGGGCAAGCATGGTAGAATTGCTATAAATATTTGTGTGCAGATTTTTGTGTGAATATGTTTTCATTGATCTAGGGTAGAAACTATTTGCTGCCACTAGAAGAAATAATTGCAATGCAACCTGACAAAGCTTTTTAAAGGAATAATTTGACAATACTTGTTCAAATTAAAATACACATGCCTTTTAACCCAATGATGCTGCTTTGGCCTCTATTTTTTTTAAATATTTTATTTATTTATTTTCAGAGAGAGAGGAAGGGAAGGAGAGAAATATCAATGTGTGGTTGCCTCTCATGTGTCCCCCACTGGGAACTGGCCTGCAACCCAGGCATGTGCCCTGACTGGGAATCAAACTGCGATCCTTTGCTTCACAGGCCCGCGCTCAATCCACTGAGCTACACCAGCCAGCTGGCCTCTATTTTTTTTAAATGTTGAAAAAAAGTAAAAATAAAGAATGCTCATAATCAATGCACAAAAAGCTCTGTACAAGGAATTTACCATGCCAGTCTATAATAATGAAAAGGCAGAATCAACCTGAAGGTCCATTAATATGGGAGTCTAAAGAAATTTTGGCACATTTATACTAAGGCATGACATGCATCTATTAAAATAAATAAGCCCTGATTGATGTTGCTCAGTTTGTGGAGCACCGTCCTGCAAAGCAAAAGGTCACGGCGCACACCTGGGTTGCAGGTTCAGTCCCCTGTCAGGGCATGTAAAAAAATCAACCAATTGGTATTACTCACATCGATGTGTCTTTCCCTCTTTCTCTCTCTCTTCCCATCTCCCTTAAAAAAAAAAAAAGCCCTGGCAGGCATGTGGTGTGGCTCAGTGGATTGAGCATTGGCCTATGAACCAGAAGTTCACCAGTTCAATTCCCAGTCAGGGCACATGCCTCAGTTGTGGGCTGGATGCCCAGCTGGGGGTGTGCAAGAGGCAACCACACACTGATGTTTCTCTCCCTCTCTTTCTCCGTCCCTTCCTGTGTCTCTAAAAATAAATACATAAAGTCTTTTTAAAAAATAAATTTACAAAATTAAATTCGCCCTGGCTGGTGTGGCTCAGTGGATTAAGCACTGGCCTGTCAACCAAAGTGTCGCCAGTTAGATTCCCAGTCAGGGCACATGCCTGGGTTGCAAGCTAGGTCCCCAGTAGGGGGCGCATGAGAGGCAACCACACATTGATGTTTCTCTTCCTCTTTCTCCCTCCCTTCCCCTATGTCTAAAAATAAACAAAATATTTTTTAATTAAAATTTTTTAATTTAAAAATAATAAAATAGAGTAGATACATTGGTACTGATATGAAAATATCTCTAAGACAATGAATGTTAAATGAACTACAGTTAGAGCAGGCTATCCCAGGCAGCAAGTATGGGGGTATAAGAATGGAAATTAAGTATAAAACTCTCTTTCTTGCTCTCTCTGTGTAGAAAGGCAAACTATTTACTTCTCAGGATTGACTGGCATTTGTTGGAAGATAAATGTCAAGGGAGAATTTGACCTTATCTCTTTGTATTATTATCTGAATTATCTTATAGCACAAATATATTATATTATTTTTTGTAATTCCTAAAAAAATTTTTTTAATTCCTAAAAAAAATTAAAAGAAGAGGAAAAATAGTATAGTTCTAAAATCATTAGCCTCAGATGTAAACCCTGCCTCTGGTAACCACGAGAGCAGCAGTTGCTCACTAAATATTTGCTGAATGAATAAATGAATGGATGCTTTTGCCATTTTTAGTTTTGTAAATCTGAACTGACTTCACATATAGAAGCCTCAGTTAAGTCTGTAAAGGATGAATAAAACAAAACCTACCTTACAAAGGCTAGAGAATAAATTTCTTCAGTCCAGAAAGAGTATTTCGTACCCACCTTGTGCAGATACTGGTACAAGGCCCTGGGAATATATCAGTTTGAAAGACAACATTCCTGCCCTCCTGGAGCTTCTGTTCTCACTGGGGAAGTAAGAGGGTGAATGATGAGCCACAAAGTCTGAGAGGTAGGCAGGGCGCATATACAGAGCTTTGTGGGCCGTAATAATGAAAAGTTTGTGTTTTATTTTCAAGTGTGAAGAAAAGCCATTGACGCTATTATCAGTAAGACAAGAAATAACAAGTGTTGGAGCAGATGTACAGAAAAAAGAACTCTAATGCACTGCTAGTGGGAATGTGAACAGGTACAGCCACTGTAGAAAACAGTGTGGAGATTCCTCAGAAAACTAGGAATAGAGCTAGTCTTCCTTATGACTCAGGAATCTCTCTTCTGGGTATTTACCCCCCAAAATTTAAAACATGTATCCGTACAAATATATGTATCCTTATGTTCATTACAGAGTTATTCACAGTAGCCAGACATGGAAACAACCAAAGTGTCCTTTGATGGATGACTGTATAAGAAGATACGGTACATATAAACAGTGGAATACTACTCAGCTATAAGAAAGGGTGAAATACGGCCATCTGTGACAACATGGGTGGATCCTGAGAGTGTCTTGCTAAGTGACATAAGTCAGACAGAAAAGGAGAAGAACCAAATGACTTTGATTCACAGAGATGTGATCAGCTTCCTGGGGAGGAGGAGGAAGGGGCTGTAGGAGGAGGCAATGGTAAACAGTCTAGGATGGGACTGGCAGAGAAGCTGGACGCCTCCAGAGTGCATGGAAGTATAGGTTAAAAGGTTTGACATAGAGAAGGGCTCTTGGTCTCCCGGACTGGCCGTCTCTGGCTCTTGGGCTTGCTCACTGGCTCTTTCTTCCTCGAGGATGCCTACGTGACCGTGCTGCAGCCGCCTGTGTTTCCCAACGATGGTATTTTGGATGGGAAGGAACTCCTAGCACAGCCCAGGGTCAGGCTGGCCTGGCACAGGGAGGCAGAGTTAGTCTCCTTCGGGTGTTCTAGAGGGGATGAGCTCTGAGACAGAAGCCGCCATTCTTCCAAAATTGTGTGGCTTTTGTGTCTTATGTTGTTTTCATTTGTAAACTAACCCTATAGAAATAAGATAATTAAAACTAACAAGTTATGCTAAGAGAACTCAGTTAAGAGTTTAGCCTTAATTGATAGGCTTAAGTGATTAAAGCTGTAACTGAGGAGAGTTTAGCTTTCATTGATAGTCTTACGAGACTAATGCCTGTGGGAAGCTGTTATTCTAAAATTGTGGGGCTTTTGAATAAAGAATTGTTTCCTTTACGACCAAACCTTTGCCTTTGGAATTTTGCCTAGAGGATGGTGGCAGGCAGCGGGATCCAAACTGCTGTTCAGTAACAATTTCACTCTTGTGGGATATAAAACAGAAAATAACTAAAGAACAAACAAAATAAACAAACTCATAGACACAGATAACAGCGTGGTGGTTACCAGAGGGGAAGAGGGATGCAGGGGGGATCAGGAGGGAAAAGGTGTCACCAAATACGTGGTGACAGAAGAAAATGAGTCTTTGGTGGTGAGCGCACATGCAACACACAGATGACATGTTATAGAATTGTACACTTGAAACTCATGTAAGGTTATTAACTGAGATCATTCCAATACATGTAATTAAAGAAAAACCACTGAAGGATTTGGAGGAGAATACTGCAAACTTCTTCCTTAAAAGTAGTAAGTAGCCCCTGAAAGGTTTGAAGCGGGGGGATTTTAAGCTGTGTGAAGAGTGGGCTGTAATAAGTGTTGACCATGTGGGGGTTCAGAACAAGTCACCCCAAGGTGTGCCTCCGTGGTATGCAGTTTGTTTTAATCTGGAGGCAACCAAAACACTGTGGGCTCAAGAGGAACTTCTGCTCCAATTTCACTACCGAGTAGGGGTCCTGCACATAATAAGAGGTTATCAGAGATAACATTTTTAACCCATCTGTAGGGCCAGGGACTTCTGATTACTAAACATCTGTCCTCATGATCCTTCAGTAATCGTCTGGGGCCCTTACCTAATCCTTACTCAGAGGGTCACAGTACTACATAGTGGATGAAGAGGGGTGCGGTAATAAATCATAAATTCCTAACTGCGCAGGTCACGGTGGGGAAAGAACCACAGAAGTTCTTTAGTGAAAATTTAGGCAAGCCCTGCCCATTGTCACTGTGCATCTAGGTTAACGCACCTTGGACATGCTAGATAACCTTGTGAGGTTACTTTCCACCACTGGACTTGTCAGTGTTATTACAGAGCCCCTTTATTTTTTGTCCACAATAGCATGTACTATGTGCCAAACATAGTTTAAGAACTTCTCACTCATATGGACGAAAAAGGGGTTCTACTGAAAGTAACCTCACAGGGTGATCTGCTCATAAATTTCTTAACTGGGCAGGTCATGGTGGGTGGTGACACTCCAGGTATTTAAACTGGTATATTTTTGCCTTAAGCAAGCCCTGTCCATTTTTTTCTGTGCATTTAGGTTAACACGCCTTTGAAATGACTCCTTTGTCGTGTACTTCAACTCCTGCCTTGCTTTCTCCCACCTTCATGTAATTTTCCTATGTTCTTTCCTTTTCTTTTAAATTTTGAGAGTATGTTTATTAGATCTGGGGACAGTGAGGCAAGGAAGGGCTTCAGACAGAAGAAGCAACAGGAGGGAAGAGAGCTCAGGTGGGGTCGCTTTGGCTCCTAGCAATGTTGTGGGAAAGCAGCGAAGCCAAGATGGGGCTGCTGTCAGCTCACCGCACAGTCAGAGCAAAGGTGACCTTGGAGACAGCTTCGGATTAGCCTGGGATGAGAAGACGCCACTGCCCATTGCTCTCCTTGTTGCAAGTCTCATGGAAATCCTTAGAGTCTAGAAGAAAATTTACTCAAAAAAGAGATTTGAGCCCAGGCTGGCGTTGGCTCAGTGGATTAAGCACCAGCCTGCGGACCAAAGGGTCACCAGTTTGATTCCCAATCAGGGCACGAGCCTGGGTTTTGGACCAGGTCCCAGGTTGGGGATATGCTAGAGGCAAATGTTGTGGTAGAATGAGCAGCCAGAGTGGAAATAAAGGCAGGGCCTCACCACTGCAAACTAACCAGAACTGAATACAGGAGACTAAAAGCAAAATCTCACCCATTGACCCAACAATGCTGAGCCTGGTCTGATAAGGTTGCCAGGCATTCCAAGCAACACAAGTAGACTATGATCGTGCAGGGGGTAGCCCTTGAAAGTCTGTATGTGTCATCTCCACTAGCGGGAAAAAGGAAATCCTTGAGACTGTGTATTCATCCCAAGGCTTAGAAGGGAGAACGGGGACTATAGGGCCCAAAGAAAAGCCCACAAAACAACTTTGATCAACTGCCTGTCTCCTGTCATGTATACAAAATGAATAGAGTCTGGAGCAAGCTAAGGATTCAGGATAATAGACCCACATACCTATGTTCGGGCAGTCATGTCCCCCAGGCAGCTGGCACTGCCTTTACTTTTCAATACGTAACTTCTTCACCCCCACTCACCACTATGTAAGTCTTCAGAACAAAGGACTCACTCTCCTGCCCCTCTTGGGTCTTTTTTGCCACATGGGGGCCTCTGGGCCAGCTGGCTTCTGGCCACCAGGACCCTGGCCACCCCTCTTTTGGCCACCCAGCTTCTAGCCACCTGGCCTCTGGCCACCCTTGCATTTGCTTTCCCATTAGAACTTAGCACTAATAAACCTTGCTTGATGCCAGCAGGCTCACAGATCTGTAATTCTTTTCTGCATTGGTGAGAAGAAACAAGTTTCTCCCCTAATGCAACCACTCACACATCAATGTTTCTCTCCCTCTCTTTCTCCCTCCCTTCCCATCTCTAAAGACAAATAAAATCTTTCAAAAAAAAGATTTGAGTGGACATACCCCAAGGAGAGTGTGTGCCCTATGTTCCCTCCTTAATTCCAAATGTATAAGATAAGCTGCAAACTGCCATTCTGAGAAGCATTTTTCTCTGTCTGTTGATATCTTGCTTCTAGGAGTATCCTCTGTATGGCTCAGACAAATTCTTATAAAAATTCTCTACAGGTTTGGATGTTCTTATGTAGACACTCATTTAATCCTCATCCCAACCCTATGTGGTAGGTACTAGTATGATTCCTACTTTGCAGATAATGAAACTGAAGGACGGAGAGGTAAAAAACTTGCCCAAGATCTCAAAGATATGAAGTGACAGACCCTGAATTCAAACTGAGGCCCCCTCATGGGATTCATTCACAGAGGCTGGCCTCAGTTTTATATACTCACAGAAGCTAACATTTAAAATATTACATATTTGTAACCCAACAAGCAACTCAAATTTTAAAAAAAGAGAGAGAAATGAAGTCCCCTGGGTCTATCTCAGAGAGGCTCTATATAGCTCTGAGATAAGTTGAGGGGATAGAAGGGCATTTTAGGCTGAGGTCACAGAGGAAGGTGATAGTTGGAAGAATCAGAAGTTTTAAGCAGGAAGTCAAACTGGGAGGGAGTGGTTGTCCAAGAACGCCAGTATGGGAGAGGAACAAACTTTCCTGTACCCTCAAGGTTCTCCTGGCTGGTCTAATCATCAAATAGTCAGGAGACAGATTAGCAGGCGAAAATAACCAAATTTTTTTATATATATGGAAACCCAATCTACATGAGAGGTTCGGAAATAGAAAAGGGGGAGGTTCAGAAATACAGGCGAGGTTCAGAAATAGAAAAGGGGGATCTAGGTATATAAGACATTTTGAACTAGGGATGGCTAAGTTGTCTTGGGGGTTTCAAAGGGTCGTTGTCAGATAAGAAGAACAAATGTTTGTTAAGTAAAAGCCTTCCCTGTCATATAGGTAGGTCAAAAAATTATTGCTGATAGTCTTTTCATTATGGGCAAGGCCCCTAATTCAAGTTCTTCTAGGTAGTTAAGGAAGGGGCAGAAGTTTCTCTTGAGCCTGTAGCTGAAATTCCTTTAGCTCAAAAAAATCCACATATCACTGAAGCACTCTCTGGTTGACTCTCTCTGAACCCCCACACCAGGTTAAGGAAACGGGGTATTTTTTTCTGATAATAAGAGGGTGCTTTTGGCACATTTCTACATTGGAGTCAGTACATTGCACTGAACAGTAAAGAGGAAGGGAGTAAGAGGACCAGAAAGAAAGGTGAGCTGCAGGGGAGAGAAACAGTCTTAAGACTCCAACAGCACACACACAAGATCGTTTTGCCTATCTCTCTTGTTTTCTGACACTATTCACTGCAATTCCTTCATTTTCTCACTCCTCGGATGTCCTTAGGGTCCTTTCAGAAACAATCCTCTTCCAGTCTTGGGGACAGCTGAAGGGCAGAGAATTTCTAGTAGTTTTGCAGAGCCACCTAGAAGAAAAACCAAAAACACAAAGGGAAGTTTAACAGGGCCTCCTCAGGGAGCATATGGCCCAAATTCTTATCATACATTCATTCATTTTACAAGTATTTTTTCAGCACCTACTATGTGTTAGTTGCGTGGGACAAAGTAAAAGTAAAATGTAGCTACGGGCCTCACAACAAAGAAGGCACCCGGAGCTCAGAGGGAGACACTAACTTGCAAGTTACATAACTGAAAGTTCTGTGACCACTGGAATGCCAAGTTTCCCAAGAGACGCTCTCTTTGATTCGCCCCAAAACTGGAAGTCGCAGGACCCAGAAATGCAGGTACTTCCAGAACCTGCATTTTTGGGACTGTCAGCTGCCTAGACAGTTCCCATTGCTCCCGCGGCCCCGCTACAAAATGCCAGAAAGAACAAGGGCCGAGGCCAACCCCGGAGCGTTGGCGGGTCAGTGAGGTCATAAAGCAATAGTTTAGTTCCCGGGCTTGCCGGAGGACTATGCAGAGGCCAAAAAACCCTTTCGCGAAGGAAGATTGCCCCTCTGCAGCCGCCGTAGCCCAGTCCGACGTGTTGCTCACGTTTTCCGTTGGGTCCGACCGCCGGAAGTGATCCGGGATGGCTCGCCCCACCACTCGTGCGGGGCCGCTGTGCACCGAGCAGTTTGGCTCTCAAGCGGCCCGGGGCTGCTGCGCCGCTGCCGACGGGAGCTTGCAGTGGGAGACCTGGGGGTGGCGCTGGTGGGGGTTCTCCGGGGCTGGTACAGCGAACCCCGGAGGACGAGATGCGGGCGAAGGGGGAGCTCCCGGGACCGCCTTTCCAACTCTCTCGCGTCTCCTGGCTGTGTTCCTGCCTCAGGGCTTTCCTGATAGCGTCAGCCCAGACTACCTGCCCTACCAACTTTGGGATTCCGTGCAGGTCAGCAGGGCGGCATATAGCCGGGGGTAAGCCGAACAGTGAAGGCCACTTCTCCCCGTTTATGGACTGCAGACTGAGGCCCAGAACGCAGTTGTGACGAGTGCCACGTCACACACCAGGGAGCGCTAATATCAGAACCTAGACCTCCATGCCCCTGCGGCCACTTCTCACCCCTTTTCTTTTCTTCTCCAGGCCTTTGCTTCCAGCCTCTCGGGCTCCCTGGCCACCCATGCAGTCTTGCTAGGCATAGGGGTGGGAAATGCAAAAGCCTCTGTTTCAGCTGCCACGGCCACCTGGATAGTGAAAGGTAAGCTGGACCCCTAGAGCCTGACCTATCGCTGCTCATAGCCTCCTCTTTTTTCCTTCGGTTAAGGACCTCGGCCTCCCTTTAACCGCTCTCCCAGTGTTCTGGCCTCTGTGCTGTGATCGGTATAATTATGGACCTATACCTGATTAGGTCAGGGAGCCAGATCTCCCTAGTGCTTAGAATAGTGCCTTGTATCCTGCTAAAGAAAAAAAAAGCGGAGTAAGTTTTAAAGATTTTATTGGCGTTATTCAGTGAGTAGCTACACACTGCTGGAATACTCTGTCCCCATCCCACACCCCAGCCTTGCCGCCATGTCGAGTCCCTAAATTATCTGGAGCCCAGATCCTTAATCACCCTCTCCCCTTTACCCCTGGACTCTTTGTGGAGGACTGCGTAAAGTAAAGAAACCTGCCAGCTGCCTAGGGTGTGGGAAATTGGTTAGTACTAGAAAAAAAAATTGTAGTTCGTTCTGAGTAGGAGATTAGGAGGTTCTGAGAAAAATGAAAGAAAAGCATTTTAGATTCTGTAATACTAGATGATGTTATAAATAGTAACTGTAGTAATCATTTGTTGAATGTGCACAGCTTTTTGAAAAACCGCAGATAAAAAATAGAAGATACAGTTTGGTACCATGCTACCTAGAGAGTGAAACAGAAGAAAAGGGAAACTGCCATGTGCTCCACATCAGAACCCATGGCTCTCTCCACTGTTCTTTGTATTTCACTGCTGTTCCTACTGAGGTTTTAATTAGGCCAAAGTCAGGCTTGCTCTGCTTCTAGCATCAGCCTGGCCACATCTCTGATGAGCCTCAATGGATCTTTGGAGAATCAGGAGGCTCCTGCTTACACCCTCACCATTAGACTGAGCAAACTGACCAAATGTGAGATACCTCTGGGAAGATGCTCTCTCACAGTGTGTGTCAGTGGAGAAGTGGTAGTGATCTGTGGCTTGCACAAGCCATGCTTGTTATATGCCAATCTTTAAATGTGCTGACCCAGTCTTCACAGTAGCTCTGAGATAAGTGTTGTCATTACCTTCATTTTGTAGATGAGGAATCTGAGGCACAGAAAAGTAACTTGCCCAGGGTCATAGTTACTAGGACATGGATTTGAACCAAGGAGGTGTAGTTCAGAGTTCATTTTCATACCACCGAACTGCTTAATTTGGATCTCTTCCATTGCTCTCCTGTTTGCTAGGTGTCTGGAGTACAGTAGGAGCCTGTAGTTGATATTTTCATGTCATTTCTAAGCACCCTAATCTTGTCACCAGCATGCTGCCTATATATGTCTTTAGATTAATTTTAAAAGACCACTTTAAAATATGAAAAAGTATCCATTTACTTTAGAGCCTGTTGTTGTTATAAAAAGCCCTCTTAATTAGAAAGAATTTTATAAATTAATTTTCATTAAACACAGGAAATTTGTATGTAGAGCTTTATATAAGAAACTCCCTTGGAATTTTTTTCTATGGTCATTTTCAGTTACAGACCTCTTAATGGAACAGGATATTAATTGTCATGCTTAACGATAGTAACACTATTAGCTAAGATTTTGTCAGTCTACTGTGTGCGAGGCATTTTGCACATTTACATAATATGTAACTTGGTCTCTGCAGCAGCCATATTAGGTGGGTGCCATTGTTAGTACATTTTTCAGAGGGGAAAGCTGAGGCACAGCAAGATTTAGTAGGGCCAGGATTTGGACCCAAACTGACTGACTCCTGTGTCTCACTCTTAACACCATACTCTTTTTGTCAGTTAGGATTTTAGAGTGGAACTAAGTACAGTTTGTGGACAGCTTATCCCTTACTAGAACTCAAAAGTTTCTAGATCTTACAGCTCAGTTAATTGTAAATGAGGCAGAGACAAGCAGGTAGAAATAAGTTTCCTAGTCCCATGGACAATGTGGAATTTTAGATAATAGGGAGGATATATGTCATTACTATATTCTAGTGCTGACCTCCAGATTCTGGTAGGGACCTTGCAGACTGCCTCTGATGAAGGGCAGAGGAGTCCCTCTTCTGCCAGTGACCCTTGAGTGCAGGACACACACCTGTGTGGATATGAGCACAGTCAAAAGAAGAAAAAAGTCTGGCCAGTGAGCTGTCTCTCAACCAGTAAAAGCAGTCTTGCCATGTTCAGAGCCACTAAGTTGATCCAGTACAAAAATCTTAAATGAACAGTGAAAATTTTGTGTAGAATAAAATGTACTTGAAGGGAAGAGGATAAGGTAAGTGATAAAGGGAGGATGCCTTCACGACAGCCAGCCTGAGGGGTTTGCCTTCAGGGACATACAGGAGACAAAAACGGAGAGGCACAGCAGGCTGGCTGGGAGATGTGCTGTACCTGTGTCTCTGAACAAAATCGCCACTGCTCAGCCCCAGTCTGTTATGGCAATAAGGGAAGGCAGGTCCAGCGGTGCTGTGTCTTCAGCTTCTTTTGGAAAAACTAGAAATTCAGATTTTTTTATAAAATGTCCCATTTTATTTTCCTACCTTTGAGCTTTGTCTGTGAAAGGGAATGATTCCTCTCAAAGTCAGGACTATGTGAAGATTGAACGGCATATATATTTCAGGGGTCCACCAGAGTGCTCCGCAGTCTCCTTCAAATCCAGGATTGGGTAATCTAGTTAGAAGGCCTCGGTGCCTACGGTTGGAGGCTGTGGCAAAGGATGAGTATGTCCGGTTCCAGTGGAGAATGGGGAAGGCTGGTATATATCACCACCTTTCTGTGTTGTGAGAAGCTCCCAACCCCCTTTCCACAACCCAGCTTCCCTTCTTGCATGTCCCGCTTCAGGGTCCATGTCCTTAAGTTTGAGCAAGTTGGGAGACTTCTGCCTGTTGTATCTGTCCTTCCCAGTGCCCACTATATGAGCACTTGTTTGGTTCTCGGTGGTCTCTTGTGATTCCCCTCCTGAACGTAATGACTGTTAGTCTCAGTGTAAGGTGTAGTCTAAATAAGGGGTAGTCTAAATAAGTGAAGGATCAGATGGTAAATATTTTCTGCTTTACAGGCTGTATAGTTTCCATCACAGCAACCTGATGCTACTACCACTGTGTCACAAAAACATCCAGAGACAATCTGTTGCTAACCTAAAAATACTTTTGAAAGGGAGAGGCAACAAGCATTCAAGATCAGTAAGAATTACTGTTTGGGATTCCTGCCTCCTCCCGGACCTTGGCCCTTGGCAGATTGTGTGTGCGGCGGGGCGGGCAGCTCACCGCCCCTGCTCTGGCTGCAGTCTGACTCTGAGTGTGGCTGACATGGCTGGCTGGAATAAGATGAGGCCTTTGCCACTGCTCCTTGTGGCAGCATTGGCGTTCGTCCAGAGGCCAACCTGAGTAGTGTGCCTAGCGAGACATTAAAGATGCAGTGTTTTAACCCATTAGATTGATGAATTGAAAGGCCCAGTTCAGTCAAACTGAAATGGAGCCACTGATCAAGTTCCAGATTTGTTGCCTGAAGTTCCAGGCAGGTATTTGAGGAGTGCATGCAGGTTGTTAGCCATGGTACCCAGACATCTGCATTGAAGTAGAGAATTACCTCCCTCAAGCAGTATATAGACACATAGCATCTTTCCTCTCAGTCTTCAAACTAATATTAATAGGCTTAATAATTATTGTCAAGGATTCCTTTGCTTTCTTTGGCATGCAAGGATCCTAGCATCTGGAGGTGGGGCCAAGAAAATAAGGCCTATGGATGTAGGATGGTTCTCTCCTTGAGCAACATGATTGAAAACCAGAGCATGTTCATGGGTGCATTTGAGATAACTTTCAATGAGGAATCTGTGTGGTCTGAGCTGGAATCTAGTCACCTTCTATCTGTGCAACAACCTGTTCAAATTCTTGACAACGAAGTGAAACTCAGTACGCATATGGATTCAGTCCACATCATCGATCATAGCCCCACCTTTCAGCACTGAAAACTTTTACATTAAGGGATTTTTGCAGAAGCAGCATGACTGACATTAGGAAGGCCTGGACTGAAGACAGCAAGCTATTAGTACACTGAATGTTTTCTCGGCAGGCTCATGTACCTCTTGGAAAACCTCAGTGCAAGACAGTTTTTCAGTGCTGACACATTTGTGGAATTCAGTAACACTCTATAGTTATTTTTTTCTACCACAAATCCACTCAGTTAATGGTTTTTTAAAAATGTGAACATTACTGCCCTGGCTGGTGTGGCTCAGTGAATTGAGTGCTAGCCCGCGAACCAGAGAGTCACGAGTTCGATTCCCAGTCATGGCACATATCTGGGTTGTGGGCATGGTTCCTGGTGGGAGGCACATGAGAGGCAGCCACATATTGATGTTTCTCTCCTTCCCTTCTCCTTCCTTTCCCCTCTCTAAAAATAAATAAAATCTTTAAAAAAATGTAAACATTACTGCTGTCACCTCTTTTTCCTTAGTTGTGTTTGAAAAAGTAGCAAAACAAGTTTGAATTTGATTTTTGTAAAAAAGATGTCTGTTAAATCTTTTGATTTTTATATACAATTTCCTTTTTTATAGTTTAGAATTGATCTTCTTGGGAACACAGCTGAAGTTTTAAAAAATTTTGTAAGTTAATTGGACGTCTTTAATTTGGTCATGTCCAATTTATATAGGTTTCAAAATATTGCATATTGTGAGCAGGGCATTATACAAGATTATGGGGGGAAATCCTATTTGCAGAGTGTACTCTATCAATTTATGTGAGTTTTTGAGTGTGTGTCATTATCAGAGAACTACCAACTGCTTTTTAAAAAATTATTTATTTATCTTTAGAAGGAAAGGGAAGGAGAGAAGGAGAATCAATGTATGGTTGCTTCTGGTGCATCCCCTGCTGGGAACTGGCCTGCAACCCAGGCATGTGCCCTGATGGGGAATTGAACCATGATCTTTTGGTTCACAAGCCCATGCTCAATCCACTAAGCTATACCAGCCAGGGCAAAACCAACTGCTTTTTAAGTCCTCTTACAGTTCAGGTGTCTTGACTTGATCAATCTAATGGGTTGATTAACTGGGCCTTTATATTTAATAAACTAAGCAGATATGTTAAATAAAAATTTTGGATTTATTGCCCAGTATACCTGCTAACATATTTAACAATCATCTGCTTAAGTTTTTGTTTTGACTCAGATAATTTCATAAGGAACACACTTTAGATTCACACACAACAGATCATTTACCATTTTTTGGATAATTGAAACTTGTCTAAGTAAAGAAAGTTTAGTTGAACTTCTTTACAACATTAATATTAGATGATGGATGTCACTTGTCTAACTTCACTTGCCTAACATATATCAGAATTTTGTTGTACTTGAACAAAGCTGAATAAATTTTTTCTTCAGTTAATTTAATATCTTTCGAAGAGATTTAAAAAAACTATAAGAGTAATTTAGCAGAAATAGAACTATAACGTAGAAACATAGTCACATAACTACAAGCATCACATATGTTAGCCTCCGTTTAGGAATAGAAGTGGTAGGTTCAAATTTGTCCATGGAAGTAAAGGGATTTGTGGAGAAGTTATGAGATAATTCAACATCGGGTCCACCAAACACTTGGCACAACTATGTACTTTCTTTGTCTCTGGGTGTTGGTTGAATGCATGTCCAGTGATGCTCATGGTTGCAACAGCCTCAAGGTGGGACGTACTGCAGTCTCTAGCTGAGAAGAAGTTAGTCTGCAGAAAATCTATTAAAATGGCTTATCCTTCTAATGAAGACTGCAGAACTGTTCACCTAAGTTCATATAATGGCAAGAGTCAATGCAGGTTAAGCTGGGAAGTTAGTTACAGGTTATTATTTTTCAGGTGTGATAGCATTTTGTTACCTCTGTAGGGCTAAAACCTTGTTAACTTGATTTGTTCCAGCTCAGATTTATTCTGCAAGTTAAACACACTGCTGAGCATGTCTAGGGTCTTTCTCCAGCTGATGGACATTCCACTAGTGACAGTTAACCTTTTAGCCTTTAGACCTTTCAACTTCAAGACTTGGATGTACCCTTGTATCTGACTGGTCAATCATGAAGAACCTAAGATTTGATTCTAACTTTACATGTTTGCTTGAGGTGAAGAAATTATCTTTCAGAGGATAGCTTTAGGTGTCTTATATTTTGTTGATGCCTGTCTCAACATTGTTTTATCTTTAGCCATATTTAAATCCAGGACTTAATGGAGTTAGTGAAAAATTACTGGGAAAGCTGAATATAAAAAAAATTTTAAGGGAAAAAGGAAAGTTTAAGTGAAGCTATTTAGAATAAGTTTTGCCTTGGCTTTTGTGGCTTTCAGTTGATTGAGTGCTGGCCTGCAAACTGAAAGGTTGCTGGTTTGATTCCCTGTCAGGGTACATGCCTGGGTTGCAGGCCAGTTCCTGGCAGGGGACACACGAGAGGCAACCATACGTTGATATTTCTCTCCCTCTCTCCTTCCCTTCCCCTCTAAAAATAAATAAATAAAATATTTTTTTTAAAAAGGGTCAGGGGAGCAATTACATCAGTAGAAGGAAGGAATTTCTATTAGTGCCAATAACATAACATAGTGATGCTGGTTCTAAACAAGGGTTTTAATTTTCAGTCATGGAGTCATAATATCAGTTCTTTGAGGCACAAGATTTCTGTAGTCCCAGTCCAAAGATTATTTTGCCCTGTTTTAACATGCCAAAGATTCGAAGCATGAGATGTGCAAGGCAGTTCCTCTGGGGTGGCAGCTCTGGCTTCATTTTAAAGTGGCTCTTTTTTTTTTTTTTTTTACAGTATAAATGAATGGGCACAGCTGTGTTCCAGTAAAACTTTATTTACAAAAACAGGAATTGGAGCCCACAGATCACAGTTAACTGATCCTTGGTCTATATCAGTGTTTTTCAAATTGCTGTTTGCTTTTACACTAAATTTGGAGCCTGGAAGCATAATTTTCTGGGCCACCGTGGTATCCCCTGTGTCTCAGTGCCTGGCACAGAGTAGGTACCCAGTGTGAGCATTTGTTGTGCAATGAAGGTCTGGCAGATTCCAGAGGCTTCGCTGACTCCCTGGCCTGAGGAGGCCTCTCCCTGTGGCCCACACCCCCAGCCCTCTGTCAACGCCTGCAGTTCAGATCCTTTTTATTTATTTGTATTCTAATGACCACCTGTGAACCTACTGCCCAACCTAAGAGCTGGAATATCTGAACTTTCCACACAAGATTTCCTGCTGCTTTTGGTGGTTTAAACACTTTATTATTCAGTTTTATTTTAGAGCTTTATGAAAAGTATGCTGTGCTATACATAGTCTTCCTGACCTTTTTCATATGAGGTTTTACTTGAATTCATCCATGTTGACGTGAGTGGTCCATTGACTTCACATCTGCCTGACATGCCATTGAGTGAATGTACCAGAATTTATCTGCACTTCTGTTGATGAGCATTTGCATTTTTCCCAGTTTTTGCTGTTATGAACAGTGCTACAAAGATGATTTCTGGTCCGTGTCTCTCAGTGTGCATGGGTACATAATTCTCTTGGGTGCAATACTGAGTTGAGGAACTGCTGAATCCAGGCACTGCTGACCTGTCGTATAGCTTCATACAGCTACCTCTGTCTAGAATTTACTGTGCCAGATAGCTCCCATGGACAGTGACCCAAGGTCCGTCAGCCATTTTCAGTGCTCGGTCTGCCAGGCCCCAGGATCCTTCCTCATTCCTCACCAATGCCTCTCTCCCCCAGATTCGACGGGCATGCTGGGCCGCATCGTCTTTGCCTGGTGGAAGGGGTGAGTCTGTCTTCTAGGTCAGAGGCTTCTGGCTACTCTCCCAAGACAGTAGTCATGTCTGTCTCAACACTGGCTCTATTTTTCAGCTTCTCTCTCCTGCCAGTTTTCAAGGTAGAGGAGACTGAGCAATTATATCATTAGAGCTAAGTAGTCTTTAGTCAGAGTACCCAGTACAAGTGGCTTGCCCAGGGTCATGTAGCAGTGAATCCACATAGCCATTGCTGTGATCAGATTTGCCTTCAAGAGCACTGACTTTCCACAAGGCTCTGAGTTACCTTTGTTTGCTTATTGGAAGAGAAGACGGAACTGGACAGCGCTTAGCCCAAAAGGAATGACGGTACTCCAGAGGCCACTGTGGAGGTTCAGACACTTAGTTGGACTTTTCCAAGCTGAGTGGGGAGTGGGCTTGAGCAAGTCATCGGGATCCCTGTTTCATATGGGATCAATGTCACCATTTCTCTAGAAGGGATTGAGGGCCTTTGCTGCCTGTCTCCTCCCCAAGTCAGTTACTGGGCAGCCTCAGGAGTGATCGATGGTCTTCTGTTGATTGTGAGTGTGAGGTACAGTGAGATAGTTTATACTAAGTGCTTAGTGCATTGCATGGCACATAATATGTGCTCAGTGAACACTAGCTGCTATTAACAACTCTAATTGTGCCTCATAAACTTTTATGTATCATCTCTAGTTCTTATAAAAGATTTTAGAGTAGGATTGAATGTGTACATTTTACAGATGTGAAGCAAACCTAAAAGAGGGAACTTATCCATGTCACACAGCTTATAACTAGTGAGCTAGAATTTGGACCTAAAGCCTGTACTCCTGTGGTATCGGGTGCTTTAGAGGGCAGAGTCCTAAACCAGGCCCATGTGGTCCAGTCCTGCCTTTGCCATATATTCTCTGAGGAGTTTCCCATGTGTGTCCCACTCCTCACCCAGGAATTCTCCCTTTCTGTCTAAGAGATTTCAGGTTAAAGGTCAGGGCTAATGCTGCAAATTCTGAGCTGTGCTGGGGGCTGCAACATCTCCTCCATTGGGGAGGTGGTCCCCAGGTGTGTTTGCATGAATCAGGGCGTCACTCTGCCTGGCAGAAGAGAGGTGGCCGTCATGGTGGTGTATAATAGAAATAGCCTGGGCCTGGACATCAGAACCTGGCTTTTCCTCCTGGCCAATTCCCCTCCTCGCCCTGTGATCTGAAAGGAGTCATATTCCTTCTCTGGGCTAATTATCTGGAAAATGCAGGGGGTTATATAATGTAGTTTTTACCCGTCCAAAATATGTGGACTTCTTGCCGAGTACCCTCAGAAGAGGAAGGGGAGGGGGGATGGCAGAGAGACCCAGGATAGCCTCTCTCAGCAGAGGGCCAGAGACTGGGAGCAGCCGTAAGACAGTTTGATTCCTTGGTGTATTGTGGGTTAGTTGGAGGGGAAACACTAAGTGACCACCAAAGTTGTCCCAGCTAATGGTGGCGTTTCAGGCAGCAGTGACAGGGTATTAGGACAGGTGTCTGGCTGGGGTGTGGTTTTTCCTGAGCCCTTTAGACCCTACCATGGCCTAAGGATGGCCAGCACTGCCCACAAGATGTGTCAAGATGTGTTTTTGTTTTAAGTCCAAATTGCTAACCTACCTTTCCTCCCCCATAGGAGCAAGCTGGACTGTAATGCCAAGCAGTGGAGGTGAGGAGCTCGGACTGAAAGGAGGAGAGTCTTCTGTTACAAATATCTCTCGCCTCTGGCCTCTATCTAACCTCTGATCCCTTCCCCCAGACTTTTTGCTGACATCCTCAATGATGTAGCCATGTTCCTGGAGATTATGGCTCCCATATACCCAGTCTGTTTTACTGTGACCATCTGCATCAGCAACCTGGCCAAGGTACCTGCTACACCTCTGGGGCACCCCTACACCTGAGATACCCTCCTTAGTGTTGCTGTGTGGGGACTCACTTGGGGTACACAGGTGAGGCCAGCCTGGACCCTGTGTGCTACACACTTCTTTGAAAACTTTCGGATGTTTCTACTCATACCCGACCATACCTTCTGGTCCTTCTTCATCTAGATATTCTCTGGTGACTCAAGTAGTTGAAAGAAGTGTGTAGAGCCACAGTACTGGTGAGGGGCGCTGAGCTGAGAGGGGGAAGGGGTGCTCCAGTGCCAACATCTTGGGACCAGCTCCCTGGCTACCTTTCTTTCAATAAAATATTTTTTGAGTGCCTTTTGCATGTTTGGCATGGAATATGGGCCTTCCCATCTTTGAAAGAAAGCCACACAAAATTAAACAAATATGTATAGAATTATAGCTCCAGATATTCCCGGTGAGAAGGGTATGGACAAGAGGGTTCAGCAGGTAATCTGGTTGGTGAGGGGATGGAGCAGGTCCTCTCTTGGGGGTGGTCCCTGAAGAATGAGTTTAAGGGGCAGGGTGGGTGTTCTGAGCAGAAAGAACAGTGCGGGTCAAGGTCCAGTGGCAAGACGAGCATAGACTGGATGGTGAGGCTAGAAGGGCAGGTGGGGTAAATGCAAGCTCTTCATCTCTGCCAGTCTGCTCACCCTCATGGTTTCTTCAGGTTGGCTTCATCCAGGTGAGTAAACTGAAGCCTAGCAAGGTTGGTGAAGAGTTCAGCATGTCTTCACCGCAGGGTTAAGTACCTGGTGCAGACTGGATACTCTTGAGACCTGTCAGACCCGTCTCAAAGGCCCATGTATCTGTTTCTCCTCAGGGCACTGCTGACATTTCACATGCACCAGTTCTTTGTGGTGGAGGACATGTAGCTTCCTGGCCTGTGTGCTAAATGCTGTGAGCATCCTGTCACCCACCAGGCCAGGAAACCCCAGAGAAAATCACTGCCGTGGACCAAGGATTGAGACCTCTGCCGTGTTTCAAATTCTTCACTGCATCTTTTGGGCCTCAGTCTCTCCATATAAGGGAATAGAACAGGGCCATGAACTTACTCTGCTCCACCCCTCTCCCTCAACCCTCTCTCGAGTACTGGTCTCAATGCCCAGCACCTCTGTCCCCCAGGTACACTAACCAAAAGCCCGCTGTCATCCATGTCTTCTGCCCCTGTCACCCTCAGCTAAATCTCCATTCAGTTCTGTTATTTTCCCTCCTGAACCTCTCCAATCCAGTCACTCCTCCATCTCCATGTCACCTAGTGGTTCCTCGCTACTGAAAAAACACAACTGCTTCCCCAGTAGTCTCCACCTTCATTCTCACCCTCTTCAGTTCTCGGAGTGGCTCAGTCGTCCTCTTAAGAGTGGAAGTCAGGTCAGGTCACTTCCTCGCCCCGTTGCTCTTGGGACAGAGTTTAACAGGGCTTGCAAGATTCCAAGTGACCAGGTCCCAGGTCATTCCTGCTCATTTGTACCACGTTCCTCTTACCTTTTAGCAAACTGTTTCCTCAGTCTACATACCAGCTTGTTTTTTCTTATCGTCGATTGATTTATAAGCTTCCTGAAGGCAGGGGTTGAGCCTGTATTATATCACTTAAATCTGTGCCTGACATCTAAAAAAGGCTTGGTAAATATCAGATGAATGAAGATGATCAGTGGCTCCTATCAATAAGCTTTAGATTGCAGAGGGAGAGATCCAAACCTCTGGGTTTTGAAATGTCCTGGAAGACTTGGATCTGCCTTGACTGGGGCAGGAAGAGAGTGGAGTGTTAGTCGTGGCAGGCAGAGTGCAAGCATAACCAGATACCAGACTGAGCCTGGGAGCTCGGAGGCCAAGTAGCTGCAGCCAAAGTAGAAGTTGGAGGGCAGGGAGTTCTGGGCTAAGAAGGGTCTTTGGGCCTCCACCTTGGGGAAAGAAATTGAGTGTCCTTGGGGCCGGGTCCACAGAGTGGTGTGGCAGGCAGAACTTGAGTTTTCTCCTGGAATAAGATGGGGGGTGGACGTAACAGAATCTGTGCAGAGTGAGAACCAGCACCAAGGGCAGCATGCAGGGTTTTGCTGCAGGGTTGCTGGAGGCCTTATTTTCTCCAGCGGGTTTGAGCCGTTTACTTGGCTCACTCACAGAAGTGCCTGTGTTTTCTGAGCTCATGGCCACTCTCACCTTCAGTCCTCCCTTTCTCCACCCAGTGCATTGTGAGCGTGGCCGGCGGGGCCACTCGGGCTGCACTGACCATGCACCAGGCCCGGAGAAACAACATGGCCGACGTGTCAGCCAAGGATAGCAGCCAGGTGAGCAGCAGAATTGAGGGGGATGGTGTGAGGGAGAACGGGGTGGGCAGGCACGTCAGGCTTGCTCACAGTTTAGGAATGTGAGTGCTCCTCAGGGAAGGAGTGGGAGACATGCAGAAAAATGCGGGTACTCCCTGCTCTGACTTTCAGGTTAGGTAATCAGGTGTTGGGGCACGGGCTCTGGTGGCAATAAGTCCAAGCTTGTCTTAGCCTTTGCCCACTGCCCAAGTATGAGCCCTAGCCCTCACCCTCACCCTCTCTGGGAGGGGAATGTTCTGATCATGTGAGGCCCCACATGTTAAAGCACTCAGCAAGTCACTGGGCTTGTGAGGTGCTGGGGTCACTGGCCAGAGGAATCCAGTCAGCAGTTTAGCAGGCCTTCTGGCCCAGCCACTCCCCTGACCAAGGGAGCTTGGAGTAGGGGTGGCATCTCCCCTACAGGCTGAACCCTACAGGTATTGGGCCCCCCATAACCCCATGTGCTAAGTGTTTATGTGCATTGCATCATTTAACTATCACACCAACCCTGTATTTGTTAAGTGTTAACCATGTATTTCATTTACATGAACTCATAAGTTTTTATAGTGATCTTGTCAGGTGCTATTCACTGTTGTCATTCTATCAACGATGAAGTGAGGAATAGAGCGATTCAGTTTCCTGGGTCCCCTTGGACACATCCCTTCCCTCAGGAACTGGTTGGACTAGTGCTTCCTATTGTCTCTCCTGTAGATTGTTAGGGAAGAAGACTAAGTACGACCCAAGCCTTGATCTTTAGGACCTCCCGGCATTGTTCCTACCATCTCTTATCTATTCTTTTTCCAAGCCCTCAGCCCTCCCCCACCCCCAGCCTGTATTTTCCAGGGCTTCCAGGCTTCCTCAGTCCACAGAGGCAGTAACGCATCACAGAGGTAACCTGGGGTATGTTCAGTCCTGCAGTAGGCCCTTGCTTTCTGCTGATGTTGCTGCAAGATATGGCTGCTCCCACCTAGGGAAGAGGCAGTCCCTCTGCTCTTCCTTGGGAGTCCCTGAGCTCCCAAGGTTTCTGGTCCCAGTTTACTGTTGCACCCACAGCCTCTATTTCCAGGTCACCCCCTCATCCAGGTGCCTGGGTAAGAAAAGCTCTCTAGCTTAAGGCCCCCTCCATGCCAGAGCCAACTCTCCTGGAGACCCCAGTAGTCAGGGGCACCAATCTACATTCCTCCTTCCTCATGATAAGCTGGGGGCAGGTGGCCTGGAGTCCTTTCTCTTAGGGTGAGCTCAGTCAAGCCATCTCAAGCCATCAGAGTGATTTAATAACGTTGGTTCTCAAGTTTTTAAATCTTGTGCCTTTCTTCCTAGGCCATAATTTGACCCCTTTGTAAAAGTGTCTGCTGGTAATTGCATACCCAGCAGTTACTGGGGGGAATTCAACATTTTTTAACTACCAAAAAAAAAAAAAAACAAAACTTCATTCTCTGAACATTTCCTTGCTTAAGCATAGGGCTACTCAGGTGACCCTTGCCAAACAAAGAAAATGTTTCAAGGGCACTGTATCTCCCTGGGCAGAGAAGCAGCTGGTATTTTTTTTTAATGATAGCACATTCACTAAAAATGTTAAAAATTTAGTAGGCACCCTCATCAGCGTAGGGAGACCTGGGTGGTTCTGGGGCAGGGAGGAACATTGTGAAAGGCACTCAAGGCTATTCAGTCTGGCCTGGAGGGGAGCCCTCCAAATCCCAACCCCTCTGCCATCTTCCAGGAGACGCTGGTAAACCTGGCAGGGCTCCTGGTCAGCCTCTTGATGCTTCCCCTCGTGTCAGATTGCCCTAGGTAAGCTGAGAGCACGTGTGGGACAGAGGCGCCCAGCTGGCCTCCGCCCCTGCCGACCACCTCACTCTTTCATTCCAGCTTCAGCCTCGGTTGTTTCTTCCTCCTCACCGCCCTCCACGTCTATGCCAACTACCGGGCAGTCCATGCCCTGGTCATAGAGACCCTGAATGAAGGCCGGCTTCGGCTGGTCCTGAAGCACTTCCTTCAGAGGGGGGAGGTACTTGACCCTACTTCAGCCAATCGGATGGAGCCATTGTGGACAGGTGACCCACCCCCTCGGTCTCAAGTCCTGTGTCTCTCAGTCTGTCCCTCTTCCTGGCACTCCTGACTCCAACTTCCCACAGGTTTCTGGCCGTCTCTGTCTCTGTCCTTGGGGGTCCCCCTGCATCGCTTAATCTCCAGGTAAGTAGCCCAGTATCTCTCACTCATGACTACTGGTCTCCAGCTCCCACGCATGCGCCTTGTTCTAATTACACAGTGGCTTCCCTTGACCAGGCCCACCTCTGCTCTAGGTTCTTTATTTCCACTGAACAGATGTGGGGTCAGTATGGGTGCTTGAGTGCAGCTGAATGTGTAATGTAGAGTCAGTATAAAGGATATATTTGTCAGATGAAAGAAGAGTGGGTGGGTGGGATAATGGATGACAAGATGTGTAAAGAATGGAAGGTGGCTGTGGGGCACATGGCAAATGGCTAAGGGATAGATGGGAAGTGGGTGAAGGACAGATGAAGTGTGGACAGTTAACTGGTGGCTGTTCACTCCTGCCTTTGCTTTCTCCTCCCCCACCACACTCTTTCCTTCAGTGTCTTTGAGCTGCAGCAGCTGGTTGAGGGACACCGAGAACCTTACCTTCTTCACTGGGACCAGTCACAAAGTAAGTGTGCCCTGTTCTCCCAGCCTTAGGCTCATCCACCTGGGGTCAACCTCTCATCCCTCCAGCCCCAGGGCCACAAGCCCCGGACAAGCTCTGGACAGTTTGGAGTTCACCTGGTGTCCTGGAGGGAGCTCTAGACTCAGACTTGATGCATTTGGATTAGAGCTGCATGTGCCATAAAGTTCACTTTACTCCTCTGTAAAATGGAGCTAACGATACCTGCCTTATTACCTGCAGTGTTTTTATGAGGATCAAATGAGGTAGTTATGTAAAAGCACTTTGTATATTGTGACACACTTACTTAAATTAGTTCATGACTTTTAGTTATCTCAGGGGGACTACTTTCCTCTCCCATCCAGTCACTTCTTGAGGAAAATAGTACTAGAGTTTACTGGTCTGCTGGTCATATGTTAAAAGGTGCTTATTCTCACCAGCCATTACAAACATGCAAAATAAACCCACCTCGGTGAGCTGCTGTGAAGTTGCATTTGGAAATTGGGCATTTTGGTTTGGCCAGAGCACTGGGGAGCAACAGGAGATGAAGTGAGAAAGGAAAGAATGAGAGACGGCCTTCCATGCCAGGCGAGGGCCTCTGGGGTCAGACAGGAATGAAGCAAGTGATGGGTCAGGTGTCTGGGGAGTGGCCCTCTCTGGTGCCAGTCTGTCTCTGGGTCTCCAGACCGAGTACAGGTTGTTCTGAGCCAGATGGCAGGCCCTGAGACCATCCTAAGGGCTGCCACACATGGGCTGGTGCTTGGAGCCCTGCAGGAAGATGGGCCCCTCCCAAGAGAGCTGGAGGAACTGAGGAACCGAGTACGGGCAGGTAAGAGCCTCACAGTCTAGACTGCTGATAACTCCGAATGGGGTGGACAGAGGATGTTCAGCTTGGGAACCCAAGAGCTCCTGGTTCTGCACCCCCATCCAGGTCCTAAGAAAGAAAGCTGGGTCATCATCAAGGACACACACCAAGTGTTGGACAAGCTATTCCCAAAGTTCTTGAAAGGTAACATCCTCCAGGCTCCTTGGCCTCTGAGGCCTTCTCCCCAGGGGCTGTGCCTACCCCCATCCCCTCCACCTGGGAGGTGGTAGACCTGGGTTCTCTGTGAGCTTCAGTCTGGGCCTCAGTTTCCCTATCTGTGCAGTGGAGAGGTTAGGATGCTCCCTGAAGCTTTGTCAGTGTTGAGTCTCCATAATAAATCCCAGTTGGCACTGAGGAACTGGGAGTGAGGGGAGGCTTACAAATGCAGGTGCTAATCTTTAATTAGCACATACTCCATTCCATCCCTTTACCATGTGCTAGCTCAATGAATTCTTGCTGTAACCAGATGAAGTTTTAGCCTCATTTTATGCCAGAGATCACCCAGCAGAGGCAAGGGAAGCCTGAGCAGGACATAAAGCCTCTACCCAGCCTGTGCTGCTCCTTACCCCTCTCTCCAGGGTAAGCTCAGACTCCTGTCCAGGAGTCCCTGTAGTACCCATAACCCAACCCCATGACCTCTCCCCAGGACTGCAGGATATGGGCTGGAAGACTGAGAAGCACCAGCTAGAGGTGGATGAGTGGAGGGCCACTTGGCTCTTGTCTCCCGAAAAGAAGATCTTGTGAGCAGCCCACATGGAGGGCTACATCCCAGGTTAAAATCCTGAAGTAAGAACACTTTGACTGCAGCAGAGCGTGGGAAAAGGGTAGCTTTATTTTTGCGTGGAGAACGGCTGTGGCTGTTTGGCCAAGGCCTCAGTACATAACTGCCAGTCTTAGCCTGGATTGGGCTCCAGGCAGACAAATTAGAAAGGGAACTGTGGCCTTCCTCCTTCCCTCCTGCCCTGAGTGTCTCATGGTGTCCCAACATAGTTGGCCTCAGGCATAAAAGCCCCAGAGGAAAGTGGCCACGGCCATCATGAGCAGGGCATTGAAGTTGACCACACGGGCCCATTTTGGGTCCTCACTGATGTCCTCCAGCTGCCTGGTTGCTGTAGCCATCTCCTCCTGGGTGGGGGGTGGGGAACTACCTGCCCCGCCCTTGCGCATTCCACAGAACCAGAGCAGGCACTGGCGAAACAGGCCTGGTGCTGGGGATTGGGACTCTGGGAAAAATTGAAGCCCTACAGTGAGTTTGAGGGAACTTGGTTCCCCCACCTCCGTAGTCCCACCTCCTGGAGACTTACCCTCCATCTCTATTGCATGCTCGGGATGCCCGTTCTGTACTGGGGTTGAGGCTGAACCTTCCACCTCATCAGCATCCAGGTCCTCCCGCTCCTCCTTGCTGTGCCGGAGACTGAAAACCAGGCGGTGGAGCTGGGGAAAGGTGGGAGCAGGGAACCAGTGGGAGTTCTGTTCCCCCAGCCCCACACCCTGGTGTCTCATCCACACTACCACTTGCTAGCCTCCCTCTGTCCGGCCTGTACACCTAGCCCGGGAGCAGCTCAAACATGATGTATGGCTGTCTTTTGCTCTCAGGCTAAACCCAAGCTCTTCAGCTGGGTGTTTAAAGCTCTTGGCTCTGCTTCATCACCCCAGGTCCCCTGTCTGCACTTAAAATTGTAGTACTTTAGACTCCAGTCTTACAGTCCATGTAGATATTTGCTCATATTTCCTCCTGTCGCCTTTCCACCCACTTCTCCACCTGTGGAGTCCTGAGCCCATCCTCCAGGGCCTGGCTCTGTCATCTAGTCCCCTACCCCCACACCCAGTCAGCCCTGCCTCCAGGCACTTGCCCTGCAGCAGAACAAGACCAGGCCCTTCTGTGTCCTTCTCAGCCACCAATCATCTCCTGTGTTTCTAGTCCCAAAGGCCATGCCAAGGAAGTAGGGAGCTTTATCACTTCCCCCTACAAACTTTTTCAAGCCACCTCCCCCAAACCTCCAATAAATGTCACTAAGTAAAAACATTGTGCTTTGCAAATACAACTTCAAACTGGACCCCCCAGCCTGCCCTCAATGGTCCTTAACAGAAAATTCGGTCACTCCACTGGTGTACCTAGAAGCAAACTGGCAAACACGGTACCTGTTTGGTGCCTGCCCAGAGGCTGCCACTTACATGCTTGCGTGGGATGGGTGCTGTGCACAGTGAGACTACAAGAGTGAGGAGGCCAGAGCAGACAAAGAGCACGATGGCAAAGTAGAGGTAATGCACCCCACAGAGGAGTGCTGGGCACACGGAGGGTTGAACGCAGCTGCCAGAGCCAAAGGAAAACTCCGGAATAAGGCGCGCCAGGCCCATCAGCAGGCCCCCAATCAGCCCCCAGAAGGCACCCTGCGGGATAGAGAGCGTCAGCCGCTTCTGATACCCAAGCCCAGCACCACGCAAACAATGTACACACATGCTCACTTTCTCATTGACGCGGGGCACGAAGAGCGCCAGCACGAAGACCGCAGACACAGGTGGTGCCAGGTAGCTGGAGACTGCCTGCATATAGTCGAAGAGCTGTCCGCCCTGTGCTGCCTGCACCACAGGTAGCCAGGCCACCGACACTGCCACGATGAACACCACCCAGAGCCTGCGGTGAGCAGCCATGAGACTTCACCCAGGACCCCATTCTTCCCTAACCCTACCAAGTGCTTCCGGTCCCCCTCCAGGGCTGACTCGTGGGGGGGGGGGGGAGGAGCCCTGCAGTCTCACCGTCCTACTAACAGCAACTCGCGGTCCCCTGCACGAGGCCGCAGGCGCGTGTAGATGTCCATGGTGAAAAGTGTGCTGCTGCTGTTAAAGATTGAGGCCAGTGAGGACATAAGTGCAGCCAGCATGACCGCCAACATGAGTCCACGCAGACCTGTGAGCCAATGAGAGCAGTGAGGGTGCGGGGCTGGCGGTGGGTGATTCCTTCCAGTGGCAGTCTCCAAAGAATGCCTGCACCTGCGGGCAGGGGCAGCCTGGGTGCTCGCCCTCACCATTGGGCATGAGCTTCACGACGAGCCGCGGGTAGGCGATGTTGGAGCAGCCCACCTCAGTGCCGCACACGCGCTTACACACCTCGGGCACCACACACGCCACTTCGTCTGGGGGAAAGGGCAGGACACAGCTAGGACAGGTCCGGGAACTTGGATCCCTGAAGTGGGGGCTGGGAATTCTAATGGAGGTGAGGTGGGATTCCTGAAAGGAGGTGGGACTGGATGACCGACTTTCCAAATCTTAGGACTAACAGGTATGGAAAGCAGGCACCCAGATCCTTACATGAGAAAGGGTCTGGATGAGGGACAGGACACGTGGTCGGGTCGGGGTGCATGTGTTACCTGGGAAGAGGATGCGGCTGATCATGCCCGGCATGACCATGAGGAACATAGGCATTAGCTTCAAGTAGCCGCACAGGATGCAGCCCGCCTTGATGTGGGTCAGGTTCTTCCCCGCCAGGCAGCGCTGCACGATGACCTGTGACCAGTGGCGTTCAACTACCTGTGGCCACTCCCAGCTAGTCCTACCCCTCAGGCCTTGCCTCAACTTGCTGCTCCAAATCAAGCCCTTCCTGGCTTAGGGCTGCAGCAATCCTGCTCCATACGCAGCCCTGGCCGGTTGGATCCAACGTCCTGGAATTTAGCTCCATCCTGGCAGGGTCCTTGACCTGTCAGACCGCCACTTGACCCTGCTCCACCACAGGGCTTCAGGCTCCACCCATCTCAGGTTGCCCCCACCCCACACTGGCAGTCACAGTGGTTCTGGTTCTGCCCCAGCCTGGCTGGCTGCCCAAGCCTGGCTCCCCACCCAAGCCCTGACTTCGCACCTGGTCACTGCACCAGTACCAGCCAGAGACGATGGTAAGTCCCAGGAGCAGAGCCGGCCATGGTAGGTCCCCCGTGACAGGGTCCCGGAGCAGATGGTAGGAGTCGGGCCGAGGCTGGTAGCAGGAGCTGGAGATGTTGCCCACAGCGGGATCCTCGGACACCGTCAGCGATGTAATTGCCCCCAAGTATTTGTCGAAAAGCCCTGAATACCCGCCCACCTCGTGGAAAGCTGTGCGGGCAAGACCGTCAGGGGACCTGGCGCCCCCCCAAGACCCTCCCTACAGCCCACACACCTGAGACCTGGGATGCCCCAGCTCCCAGAGTGAAAGCCCTGCAACACGTGACCTCCATGCCCCTCCCCCATTGGGACATACCGTAACCCATGAGGATGAAGGCCCCCCCAAGAATGACGAAGGTCTGCACGGTGTCCGTGTACATCAGTGCTGCCAACCCTCCTGCAATGGTCCTGGGTCAGTGGGGACGGTCCAGACAGGCCGTTTCTAGTACAGACCCTGTCGTTCTAATATGGAAAAGATGGCCCATTTCCAGCCTCATGCACTTGGGAAACAGAAGGCAGGCCTTGGTGAGCAGAGTATGGCCTAGTGAGGCTCTTACCACATCTCCCAAGCCTATTCCCTTCCCCAAGCCCCTGCCGCGGCCACCTGTCACAGTGTAGACCATGGTGATGCCCAGGAGTGCAATGACGGAGGCATAGATGTTCCAGCCCAGAGCCTGTTGAATGAATACTGCCCCGGAGAACATGTCCACCTCGGGGTAAGCAGAGAACACGCAAATCAGGACCCAAAGGCCAGGGCAGGGCCCTAGGTTCATTTCCTGCCCAGACCACAATGCTATGTGGCCAGGCCTCAAAGGTTCCCTCCTTTTTCCATGGCCTGGTCTTCGCAGGTCCCACCCACTGTGGCCATGGCTCCAGAAATCCATGCCTTCCAGGCCCTGCCTCCATCAGGATCTTACATCCATTTCTCCTCGGACTCTCCCCTCCAGGGCTTTCTAAAGACCTTGACCCTGTGATCCTGCTGCCTTTTAGGTCCTGGTTCCACCCACTGCACATGCGCACCGAAATCTTGGTGAAGATGTACAGAAAAAGCGATAGCACGGATAGGTAGAGGCGAATACGGTGGCCGCCGAAGCGCTTGCGTAGGTACTGTGGCATTGTAATGACGCCTGCGGTCAGATACACCGGCGCAAAGAGCCAGCCGAGTAGCATCACCACAAACAGCGCCTGTGGGCACAGTGCAACAGCTGACAGTGACTCCCTGAGATCCTGCCCTGAGCACATCCGTGTTCCCCAGCCCCCCCCCCCCCCCCAGAGTATGAGAGACCTTCTTTCCATAAGCATGCTGTTCTAAAGGCGAGTTCACATCTGGGGCCCAGAGGATAAAAATACAAACGATATCTCTAAGCCCTGGGCATTAAGGAACATAGTCCTGACACCTTCCTGAGCCCTTAACGACAGCCCTCCTTGCCTTTCCAGGCCATGACCCCCGGCCAGTCCTTCGCAAGATAGGGTCCCTAACCCCTACCCTCAAGTACATGAGTCCAAGCACAGACCCCTCGGCCTGACCCCAGCCTCTGCCAGGAACGGCTGCTTCCACTCTCCTCTCCATTCAAGAAACCATCAAGGCTCAGCTTGGAGGCCTCCTCCAGGAAGCCCTGAGCTTGAAGCCCTTCTCTCTCCAGCTTTCCAAGGTAAGTCTCAGTCTCAGAGCTTTGTCTCCCTCCCACTTCTGCAAGGAGCTTTAATTTGGCCCTGACATCTTCACTGGGCCACCACTTAAGAGAGCAAAAAAAAAACAAAAACCAAGCACTTCACTATCTTTGAGACTGTTCATCCTACTTCAGATAGGAGTAAATCAAGGCCACTGGAAGTAGTGGCTGGTCCAGGCTCAAACAGCAAGTCAGGAACAGGACATATCCTTACCCTGAAAGTGGTACATCCTTTCTTACATCCTTCTGCCTCCATGCGGGACATGTGACCCTCACTTGAACCCCAACACTACCCCACAATCTACCCTCACATTCTTCCTGCTTGGAGCCTATCTAGGCACTACCCTTCCAAAGGTTCCCACTGGGGGTGAGGGTTATTGGCAAAAAGGGGCCTCACGTTCCACTCAAATCCAGCCACAGCCAAGCCGCTTGCAGCACCGGTTCCTGCAAGGCCCACAAAGTGGCCACTGCCGATGTTGCTGGCAAAGAGAGAGGCCCCGACCTGGGTGACCAGAGGTATGAGTAAGCCAGGCTGCTTCTCTGGGCCCCTCCCACTCCACAGCCCAGCCTCTCTCACCGGCCACCACACCATGCTTCGTCCTGCCAGGAAGTAGCCACCCACGGTGCCTCTGTTGGTTCTGCACATGGACTGGGAGACAGGAGTTGGAGAGACCTGGGATCAGGGCACATCTCTGGACCTCATTAGCCTCTTCAACACATTCCTCAGCCTTGTTTCAGGCTGAAGATTAACCAGTGCTCAGCTTCCCTGATGGTTCATACCCCACCCCCACACTCCCTTCCCAGGCACCAAGAGCCACCCATGCCCTAATCAGGTGTCCAACTACCCAAGCCTGAGTGTGGCTAGATTTGGCCTGACTTTCCTGGGGGCCTTGGATCCGGCCTATGGCTCTGGTCAGCCATAATGTAGATGGCTGACCATCTACATTATGTAGATGGCTCCTCTGTTCAGAGGAGTCATTTAAAATGCTATTCCTGAGGAAAATACTAGCCCAATCCAAAAATGGAAAGACAAAGAATGGGTGTTGGCTAAGCCTCCCCGAGGCTATCAAAAGACTTACTTGTGGGGGTAGAGAACAGTGGAGAGACGTACTTGCTCCTTCTTCCCCAGCCCCTGCTTTCTCCCTCACAGATCTAGGCATCCTGCCCCTCGTGCTACCCGAGGTCTCCCCGAGACTTCCCCCCATGCACCAGAAACCTGGCCCCCAGCAGCACCCCTCCGCTTCTCACCCACAAGCCAACACCAAGGACCAGTAGGAAATAAGCAGCGATGACCAGGATGTCGGCAGGGTTGTTGATTAAGGCGCTCTGCTCCCCCAGCCCTGGTGGCAAGCCTGCCTCTGTGTGCTCCTCCATTCTGACCAACATCTGCCCCTCAAGGGACCAGCCCTTGGATTCTCCCGGGGGAGAGATTAATGGTTACCTCAGGTGCAGTGAGTTGACAAATCATCCAGGCCTTGTCCCGCCTCCCTGGCTTTGTTTAACTGAATCAGGTCACATCAAGGCAGAAGATCGGTTTTGGGGAGGTGGGCCCTTTCAAGTTCCTTCCCGGGCCTTATCCCCTACCCTTTCCCCAGTGCCTCGGGCTCAATATCACTTCATCCCCTAAAACTGCCTACTTTTTAGCTTTGACCAAGAGAGCCTGGCTGAGCCAGCCCCCTGGTTCTGACTAATCCAGAGGGATCACTTTCCAACACCAACCTGACATCGTCACACCCCTGCTCAGAAACACTCCATCACACTCAGGCGGAAGCAGAAGCTCCTCAGCTTGATGTTCAAGGCCTTCCCTGCTCCAATTCCTGCCCATCCTTTCCCTTGCTCCCATACCAAATACCAGGTCTAGAGTTTCCTTCTATTTCCTTCCTATTCCTTTGTTCTGCCCTGCCCGTGTATTTCTACGCCCCAGAACTGTTGCCTCAGCTGTACCTTCTGCTTAGAGGCCTCCCTGCCTCCCAAATGGCTAACTCCTATTCAGTCTTCGGTACCCAGCTCATGTTACTTCATTTTTATTTTTTAAAAAATTTTAATATATTTATTTATATTTAGAGAGAGGGGACAGGAAGGAGAAAGAGAGGAAGAGAAACATCAATGTGTGGTTGCCTCTCATGTGTCCCCTACTGGGGACCTGGCCTGCAACCCAGGCATGTGCCCTGACTGGGAATCAAACCAGCGACCCTTTGTTTCACAGGCCTGTGCTCAATCCACTGAGCTACACCAGCCAGGGCTCATGTTACTTCTTTAGGAAAGACTTCTCTGACTCTTCTGATGCAATTCCAAGCACACAGTTTGGCCCTTGTCTGGGTCCAGGTCTGAGCCTCCCCAAAAGATGGAAGTTACCCGATTTATCTCTGGAGTTCTGTTGCTCAGCACAGGGCTGGATACAAGAAGGGTGGGGGTTGCCGAATAGCTGTACCTCTCTCTGCCTTCAGGAACTGATCAGACTTGGAGGTCTGACTATAGCAGTTGACTTTGTGCCTGAGGTGGGGAATATAATGAGCTACGTTTAGGAGTGCCTTAAAAAGCAGACCCCAACATGAGAATTGGAGTGCAAGAACTTTACCGGGGAGGTGATACCAATAAGGACTGTGAGGATTTGGGAAGTAGGAAAAGCCAATAAAGAATATGTCCACTGACAGGTTACCACTGTGAACAACTGGAACACAATCCCAATGGGGGACTCTCAGACTCTGTGGAGAACACACCTCAAAACTGACCCTCGGATGGTCAGACAGCTAGGGTAGTTCTTCACCAGTTTCAGTCTCTAACTAGTTGGAGCTTCTAAAACCTCCCCACCCACTTTGGCCCTGGGGGCTACAAGAGCAGGCTCCCTCCATCAGAGAGCACCCTCAGACCGAAGCTCAGGAAACAGCTAGGGGGACTGGGTGTCGGGGAACTGTCTACATGACTTCCCAGGTGGGCCAAGCAGATACGGGAAGGGCACCCACAGTGTCTGCTTCCAGGGACGATGAATTTGAAGTGCCTGAGGAAATGAAGTGCCTCACTGTGGCCTTCAAAGCCTGTCATGATGGGGCACCTGCTTCCTCTTCGATCTCACCTCCTGCCACTTTCCACCTTCCTTGCTCTGATCTAGCCACACTGGCCTTCTTTCCTTTTTCCCAGTATGCCAAGCTCTTTCTACCTCCTGGCCTTTGCACTTTCTCCTTCTTCTGCCTGGAAGGAATGCTCTCCTCAGGCTCTTTGCCTGGTTGGCTTTTTCTCAGCTGTCTCAGCTTAGACATCACATTTTCACAAAGGCTTTCTCTGACTGGTTCAATTAATCCCTTCTCTTAGTTCTCTTCGTTTTCTTCTCATTTTCCCACCTTTCCTTTCTTCCTTGCTCCTCCCTTCATTAACAAACATGTATTGAGCACATATCACATACCATACTAGACACTGGACGGTATCATATGACAAAAACATCGTATGTCATCTGACAAGCTCTCGGGAGCTTGTATTCCAGTTTCAGAAACGAACATAAAAAGGCAACAAATAAACATGTATTTGTAATAGTGATTAGTACTAAAGGACTAGGGTGGTGCTAGGCAGTCATAGAAGTCCCATTACTTCATCACACTTGTCACTTGTCACCTGTCTCCCTTACTGGATAGACGTCAGCTCCATGAGGGCAAGGACCATGTTTACTTGGTTCCCTGTGGTCCCCCAGCACCTGGTACAGAGCCTGGTACAGTAAACACTTAACAAATTGTTGGCAAATGAATGGAGACCGGAGATGACCAGTTTGGGCATCCTCAAGACAGGAAGGTGGCCGTAATCCAGGGGATGGAGGACAGCACTGCCCAGGGAGAACGTGTGGAAGGAGAAGGGCAGGAGGCCAGGGCAGGCCCAGGGGGCGGAGCCTCCGGGAGGAAAGGATCTGGGAGTCGGCCCGCGGCAGGGACGGAGAACACCTCACTGCCTCCTCCCCACACATGCTCCCTCTGGCTGCTAACTCCTCCTTGAGCTGGAAGCGGCTCTGAGGATCCATCATTTCCATCCTCAAACGCCCCTATAATTTGGGCCCAGGAGTCCATGCCCCTTCCCTAGGGGACTGCAAGAAACAAGGTGAAGGTTTGGGGGCTCAGAAAGGCCTCTGGGGCTTGGGAGTTCAGATGGAGTCTGGATTTCTCCACACCTAATCCTCCTCCCCCCCCCCCCAACCCCAGCCTTTTCTGCTGGGACCAAGCTCAGGTGTCACCTCCTTCAGGAAGCCTTCTGTGACTCCCAGTTAGAAGCCTCCTTCTAGCTCCTCCAGCCCCCAGTGCTCCCCCCAGCTACCACTCTGACCAGAGTGTCACCCTCTGCCTGGGGGAGACGTTATGAATCAACACTATAAGAGGGAAGCTGTGCCTTAGTGCCCAGACTGAAAGAGTGGGCATAGATTGGCACTTCTGGATGGAGCCCACCTCTGAAGGTCTTACAAGAAGGGGAAAACCCACCCCCTGGGAATCAGACAAAATGGGGGCATCAGGGGGACTGCGGACAGTTTAAGTGCTTATTTCAAATATAGAGAGAGAGCTGAAGGAGGTCGGAGGCGGAGAAGTGGAAGGAGGAGTGTTCTAGGGGGCCCAGCTTGAGCTCCTGTGCTGGCTCTGCCACGATCTTTACAAGGCGGCTCTGGTCGTTGTCTTTTCCAGCGTCAGGCTCATCTGACACGCGAAGGCCAAGGCTGCAGGTCTCGCTCCAGCCACAAGGCGGTGGCCTAGAACCGGCTGTAGAAAGAACCTTCACAAGGGGCGGGGCGTCCCAAGGCAAGGCTTGCCGGTGCAAACACAGCACCAGTGCAACGTGGACTGTGTATTTATGTAGATAGAAAATAAAATGCACAGAGCAGTGGGCGCGGGGCGGGGGGAGGGGTGCGGGGTGCGGAATGTACTAGCCTGGCTTCTGATCAGTGGTAATTGCAAGGGCCTTCCTGCAGTCGGGGTCCCCTTGAGGTTAGGAATAAAGTGAAGGGCTCAGGAGGGGTGCTAGTCAATCTGTGTCCCGCTGTGCGGGTGTGTGGCCTTGGGATTGGCCGGGAGAATGTAGAGTAGGATACCTTAGGGGCGGGTCTCTACAGCTGGTGGTGCTTATAGGGTGGGGTTAGGGAAAGCCAGGAGCTCAGAGAGCAAGGCCTTGGAGTCTCAAGAGCTCGAGCTTTTCGGGAAGGGCGGGATTTGGAGGAAGGGCGGGATTTTGGGGGACTGAGAGTCAGCCAAAGAGCTTGAGGAAGCAGGGCTGGCAGTAGGGCTTGCTGGCGCGCTCTTGGAAGGAGCCCTTGGTGAGCGGGCGCAGGCAGAAGGTGCAGGTGAAGTGGTCCGGGTGGAAGCGGCGGCCCAGGGCAGACACACATCGTCCGGTCACCGGGAGGCCACACGTGGCGCACAGCGAACCGCGCCGCGCGTGGAAATGGTTCTCACACAGTGGGCGGCCCTCGTGCTCGTAAAAGCTGCCTGCTGAGAAGGGTGCGAAGCATTCCTGGGGAAGGGCAGTAGTGACAGAATGGATCAGCGGCTGAACCGCCACCATACAATTCAATTTGTGAGTCGAATGACCCCTCTCCATCCGTCTCCCCACAGTGCCACTGAGACTTGAAGCCTTGCCTCTAGGAACATCCTGCCCTGAATAATCACCCACCTCGGGATCCTACTCTCCCCCCCCCCCCCGCACTTGGCACATCCACCCCAAGCCCCGCCTCCACGGAGCGCACCCTGCAGACGAAACAGTCAGGGTGCCAGAGTGCACTGAGCGCTGAGATGTAGTTATCCAGAATGGGGCCTTGGCAGCCCTGGCAGCGTGGGGCGAAGAGCTGCAGGAAGTCCCGGCGGCAGTACGGGCGGCCCTCGCGCTCGTGAAAACCTAGGGGCGCAAACCGTGTGGGCTGAAAGAAAACGGTCCTACGCGGTGTGAAAACTGTGGGGCCAGAGCGAGCAGTAGGGAGTGGGGGACGAGGTCTGCGGAGAGGTGGGGGTTGGGGTGGTGGTGCAGAGCTGAAGAGGATCAGATGGGAACCCACAGGAGGGAGGGTTTGGGGCCCGAAGAGAGCAGGAGAAAATTCATAGCCCCAAGGACTAAGGAGGTCTTAGTCAACTGGGCCAAAGGGCGCGAGGTGGGACATAAAGCAGACCCATGGCTTTGAAGGTGGGAGTCAAGCTCACCCTCATCTCCAAAGGGTTCCCCGCAACTGACGCAGCAGAAATGCTCTGGGTGCCAGTGGGTTCCCAAGGCAGTAACCATCTTCTGTAGGAAATGAAAGTGGACACTCAGTGTTACCCTCCATCCCTTCTTCCCTCCCTCTCCCACCCTGAGCCTAGGTGAGTGGGTTGAATGAAATGTCAGTTGAGGCGAGGGAGACCTACGGAGGAACTTGGGAGACAAAGAGAGAAGGCAGAATCTGAAGGAATATGGAAGAGGCCAAGGTGCAGGGTTGCCTGGGTGGGAGGGGGTGGGGGGCGGAGGGAGGGAGGGGACTGTGAGTGGAAGAAGCCTATCTCACAGGCTCCTTGGGTGAGACCGTGTAGGAGCTTGCGGGCCAGTCAGGGCTCACATGTCGAATGGGTTGATTGCAGAGGCCACATCGTGGGGAGAAGCGCTGGAAGTAGCACTCAGGGCAGAAGGGGGCTCCATCCTTCTCGAAGAAGCTGCTGCCTCCCAGGGCCGTGGAACAGCCACTGCAAACGAAGTGCTCAGGGTGCCAAGCACGCCCCAGAGCAGTCACCACCTTCGAGTTGGGGGTGAGGCCGGGGTTAGAGTGGCCCTTGGGCTACCATGTCCCCAGTAAACTAAGGATTGCATGGCACTTTTCAAGTTTCATCTCTGAGAGATGAGGATGAAGAATCTAATGTTCAAGTCACTCAGTCTTGTAAGTGATGGAGCTCCAACCCAGGTCTTCCAGCACGCTTCCTAGGGCCCACAGTACATTTTAGGAGCGTTGTAATTTCTTTTAAATTCAGAAGAAAAAACTAAGCTAGAAAAAAATGATTCCATATATAATATTAATGTATTCATCTTTACATGAACACAGTCATAAAATACAATTTTAAATATTTTTTCCATGGAAGAAGAGACGTATGAAGGCAAAAGTGCCTAAGGCCCCTGGAGGTCAATGCCACCTGCTTTGCTCAAATTGGGAATTCTGGGATGGAAGCGGGCACTTGATCGGCCAGGACAATCTATGTCAACCACTAGGTATAGTTATTGTAAATCATATCTGCCCAGTCAATAAGCCAAGAACCAAACCAGACTCTAGTAGAGGAGAAACAGGCTTGTGGTGGGTGGAGCCAACTAGGATTTTGCGAAGAACCAATGAGATGTGGGTTTGTGAAGGAGCGAGTAGCACTGTGCCCGGCACAGAGAAGGACCATAATAAACGGTAACTGGGTTGGAATTCTCACCCTGCCACTTACTTGCTGTGTGACTCAGAGCTTCAGTTTCTTCATTCATAATATATGAATGACAATAATACCCGCTTTCCAGAGTTACTTATTAAAATGGAACAGCACAAAGGCTGGCTCTCAGCGAAGATCATGGGTACATGGGTCTGTATCACTCTATCCACAGAGCTCCACTTACTTGCCCAGCAATAGGTTTATTGCAGGAGCCACAGAGGCCCTTGGCCTGGGTGGGAATGCCACGGCGGCTGAGGTCGGACTGCAGCAGCCCCAGCATGGTGTCTAAGCTGCCCTTGCTAGTTGGCCCCGGTGAGGGTGGGGAGCCCTCATTCCCAGAACTTGGCACTGGTGGCTGGGTTGGCCCAGAAGCTGGAAGCTACAATAGGGAGGACAATAGGGAGGGAGTTGAGTCAGCAATGGCAGCACAAGTGGAAAGGTCTAAAATGGGTTAGGAAGCCACAAAACCACAGTGGCCCACCCCCCTGCCTGACTCACATGGTTCTGGACTCGGAAGTCAGAGAGCGAGGCCATCAGTCTATCCAGTTCCAGGGTGGCGGAGGTGGCCGAAGGTTTTGAGAGAACAGGGGATGGGCTGGGAGGGCTGTGAAGGAAACAGCTTGTGTCAGCTCAGAGCCTCCCAGAATAATGATCCCTCCAGTAACTCAGGTATCCAAGGCCGATCACCGCTCTTCTTGCCCTGCCAACTGTGCCAAACTCACAGGCTGGGCCTTTTCTTGTCCTCAGATTGGTCTTCCTTCTGCTCCCCTGCAGTCTCCTTGCTAGATGGGAACTGAGACATTATTTCATCTGCAGAGAGGAGAGAAGGGCTCTGGACATAGGGCCATGCTCTACCCACCCTCCCACCTAAGGCTTTGTGTCCTATTAGCTGCTACCCTGAAAAATCTACACCCCTTAATCTCTGCTCTTCCCTGCCCTGCCCCCATCCCATCAAGACCTATCTCAGCAACCTTGGTACCTGTGATGTTGAACTGAGTAGCATTAAGTTCCTGAAGCAACCGGTCTAGCTCACAGAGCCCTGTGCCCAAGACACCGCTGGAAGAGGAGAATGGTGGAGCCGCAGGGGCCACAGGCTTTGGAGACTGAGGCTTGCATACCGTGCTGGGAAACAAGGTGGGAGCTTGGGTTCGGGGTGGGGAATCCAAGTCTCACCTTGAGTCCTGGTTGACTTTCCCATTCTCTAGTTCCCAGGCCCCTTACCTGTACAGATGGTCCTTATCTCCAGAGGCTCCTAAAGACTCCCCAGACCTCATCTACAGAGACAGACACATGTGCGGGATGACAGGTCTGTACTTTGTCTCACTCAGGCCCAGATTCCCCTAGCCTTGGCCAGCCTGGCCCTAGTGGTTGTCCCAGTCCATAGCCTCTGATCTCACCTGTGACTGGTGGCCATAGGGCTGGGAAGACGTGACGGGCTCTGGGGGTCGCTCTTTGGGAGCCCCTGACCTTGGCATGTGTGAGGTGGTGGTCTCCAGGTCAGAGAGCAGGGCATCTGCAAGGAGAGGCCATCAGGGTGAGAGGTTGAGAGGTCAAGGTTAGGGCACAGACAGGGCCTTAAGATATGAGAGGATAAGGGTTCCAAGTGGACAGTATTTGAAGACAAAAGCAAGTATTGAGAGCAGAGATGAATAATCAGAAGGAAACACAAGGCCAGACCAAGGCGGAGACATGGAAAGGCAGCATGTCTGGGGTGTGCATGTGTATATTTATGTCCAGAATATCCCATATGGCTCATCCTGGCAGTCATGCACAAATCCAGCAGCCTGTTTTTTGTTGTTGTTTTTTTTTAATTCTCAAAATCTTCCCTAATGCAGTCAAAATTGGCTCTTTACCGGAGCCGAGTTTGGCTCCACCCCAAATTGCTCAATTGGCTACATGCCTGGCACCCAGCTTTCAGATTGGATGCTTTTTTTTGCCACGCCCAATTCTTCCCCAGACCTGAGCAGGCCCACTCTGCTCTGGCCCACCTCCAGGACTGGGTCCCACCCTATGCACCTCATTGGTGAGTCTGCGGGGACCTGCTTTCTGATTGGCTTATTCTCCCCCCAGAGCTCGTAACCCCTACTGAGCAGCACCCCCTATTGCAAGGTGCTGGAACCCCTTCTGCCTCACAGTTGGAAGGCACTGCCTTCTAGCCCGAGTTCCAACAGACAGGGAGTACAAAATGCCTCTTTCCCACCGGGACACCACTACCCGATACCCACCATCGCCTCTCCCTTCCAGAACCTATAAGTTCCTGCCCCTTTACTCTTCATCTCTGAGCACTGTGGTGGAACCCTTAACCTCTCCCTGGCATCTATCTGACCCCTACCAAACTTAGGAAGCTTTAACTCTTTCCTTCCCAAAACCCTAGGGCAGACCCCTTTCTTTTCCAGAACTTGATGTCATAGCCTCCCTTCCTGTCTACTTTCCCAGTCCCGGACCCAAGACCCCTTTAACTGCTCCCATCCTACAGCCAGCCCCTGAGCCCAGGCGCCCACGGGCGGGCACTGCATCTCCCTGCCCATCTATCTGCAGCAGAGCGAGAAGAGGAGGGAGGGAGCAGCCGGCCAGGGAGAGGCAGGAAGGGAGAGGCAGGAAGGGGGACGTGGAGTCGGAAAGAAGGCGCGGGCAGAGACCAGAAGCGAGAAGACAGGAGGCAGGATGAGGAGATGCGGGGGAGTGCCAGGGGGCTCCAGGATGGGGAAGCGGTCCAGAGGCTGGTGAAGGGCTGCGTCCAAGGGGACTCGGGCCCCACTCACCCAGGTCCTCCATGGTGGGGCGCAGGCAGACCACGCTGGGCTTGCTGGGCGGGGGCCGTGTCCGGTGGGGGCGGAGGGTGGTGGGGGTGGGGGAGGACGTCCGGGAGCTCAAGGCCCAGCCGTGACCATGTAAGGAAGCCGGGATCTGTTGGGATGGGGCTAGAGGGAAAGGTGGGGGGAGTGGGGGGCAATGGACGGGAGAATCCTGGGTGGGGGCGTGTAATATGGGAGGGAGGATTGCCGTCCACGCAGGCCCAGCCCCCCTGCTTGTAGGGAAGCTGCCACACCCCACCCTTGGCCTCAGCTGCAAGGAGCCCCAGGCGGCCACAGCCAGAGTCAGAGAAGTGGCTCTTCCAGACCTTGCCCGGAATCTACGCCCAGTCAGACTCTGAAACACAGACTGAGGCCCGCAAGCAGACACCTCCCAAAAGTTAGCATCCTGAGTGTCAGACAGAGCCCTTCTTCCACCCAGGCCTTTCCTGTGAGACTTGATCCAGACACAATTTTGGGGTTGAGGGCAGAAATTATGTTCTAAGCATCAGTCAGAGCCCAAGTTCAGAGACCTTCCCTTAGTGATGCTGACAAACAATGACATAAACAGAGCTCCCAAAAGGCAAAATACTAAACACAAATCTCTCAGAGACAGAGACACAATGAACCCTTCCGCAGACTCAAGAGCAGGACCTTCTCTCCAAGACCTGAAAACATCCACGCAGACACAATTTAACTGAAACGCAGGCACAAGCTTCATGCAGACTCAGAAAGCACTCCCAGGCAGCCAGACCCCACCCAGCCAGCCTTCGAGACAAAAACCTTCCCTAACAGTGAGGTGACCCAGACCTGGTCCAAAAAAATTCCTTCCCAAGATACTGTTGAACGGAGAGAAGAAAGACACAGACTTCAGTGACATAAAGGAACAAGAAGCCTTCCGTAGAGACACACACAATAGTGCACAGCCATTGGAATGTGGGCCTTGACCCAGACCTGAGTCCAGACATGCACACTTTAGCCTTAGAAATTCAGCTGGCCGGACCCTGGCTGGGTGGCTCAGTTGGAGCGTCTTCCCAAACACCAAAAGGTTGTGGGTTCAATTCAATCTCCGATCACGCAGGGTGTGTACAGGAGACAACTGATGGGTGTTTCTCTCTTTCTCTCTCAGATCAATAAAATATCTTCAGGTGAGGATTAAAAACAATTTACAAGAGACAGTGGTACCTCAGTATTTGTGGTTAATTTGTTCTGGAATTTATGACCGGTGCTGAAACCAACGACTACTGAACACAGAACACGAGTGATGAAGCATTTCTTCTCGTAGGGTGGCATTGTGACTCATACAAGCTCTTTGAAAGTGCAACGAACTCTGAGCAGGTGCTGAGTGCCAAAACATATTTTTCCTTCCAGAATGCACCGAGTACAGGATTTGAGTTCTGAAGCCAACGAGTACTGAGGTGTGACTGTACTCATCTGCTGCTGCAACTGGACAGCAGAGCATCACTGTAAATTACTTCACACAAAATGGTGGTTTCGTTGGGTGAGGAATTTAGTATTTCACATGGGCTTTAATTTATATGTATACTTTTTAATTAAGCTGTAACCTTTCTTACAGCACATATTTCTTTGTATGTGAAATTGAGGTATACAATGTTGTGTTGTAAATGGAGCAAATGCTTAAAACAAGGCTCACAAGTGTAGAATAGGGTCCAGTCCTTGTTTTAAGACTATGATTCAGAAAAAATATAAGAACCACAGTGCCATAGATGGCTCTCAACTGTGTAGTTATATTTGCTAATGCTATCTCTTATAATATAGTCCTGATTTTGAGCTGAAATCCATATAAGAATTAATCTTAATTCTGTATTTTTCCTGTAAGGCAATAGGCCACATTAATTAAACTGAAGGGGTGGGGGGCAACAGCAGCAAATCAGAACCTGTGGATATTTAAGACTTTTATTTATTTATTTTCTAGGTTGTAATTTTTTAAAAGATTTTATTTATTTATCTTTAGAGGGGAAGGGAAGGAGAGAGGGAGAGAAACATCAATGTATGGTTGCCTTTCGTGCGTCCCCTGCTGGGAACTGGCCCCTGCTGGGAACTGGCCTGCAACCCAGGCATGTGCCCTGACTTGGAATTGAACAGCGATCTTTTGGTTCACAGGCCTGTGCTCAATCCACTGAGCTACGTCAGCCAGGGACATGACTTTATTTTTAGAGTGAGGGGGAGGAAAAAAGTGAAGGAGAGAAACACTGATGTGTTACCTCTTGTCCACCCCGCTACTAGAAACTGAACCCAAACCCGGCCAAGTGCCCTGACAGGAAATTGAACCCTTGACCTTTCAGCTTGTAGCGCAACGCACAACCATGCCACACTGATCAGGGCCAACTTCCGGGCGTTTTTAAAAACTGACAGCCAGGGCACCCTCCCCTCAGTCCAAATCAATCCGAAAGGGCTCAGGCATCATTTTAAAATATCCTTTAAACAGCTGTCTGGGTGGCTCTAACACAGCCTGATAAAGGGAGACCTGGACAAATGCTCACAGAGGCAGAGGCGGCACTGTCAGCCTTAGCGCCGCAGAGGCTGGCTGGCAGGCTCGGTCCAGGCATTCTCCGCAAAGTTAGGCTGCCACCTGAGTGGTCAGCGATCTGGGAGTTGGGTGTGGAGGCCCCACCTTGGAGACCAAAGCAATATGATCTCTTCCCTCACCTCAGTGCCAGGCCAGGGCTTTGACCCTCTGGGCATGACCGAGACAGGGCTTCAGAGACTCCATGAACACAGTAGGTCTTCCTTCAGTCAAACAGCAGGAGGGCACTTGGACCCAGAGACTGAAGGCCGAGAGGGGTGAGGGACACTTAGAAAACAGTAAGGCCAAGTCCTTGGCCATCCACTACCAAACCAACAGCATTCCCTCAGCACTGTCCTCTCAGCCCTGACCAAGGTCTGCATCCAGTTGAGTGGCTGTCTGAGCTATGAAGACATATGAGCAGGAAGTGGACTTCCCTAGGGGCCAAAAACCACATCCTAGGGAGAAGCCTGGGAACTCTTTTATTCTAGGGCTGCATTTTATTTATTAAACTCTTACACGCCAAGGGTGGCCTGTATCAAGCAAGATACAGAGACCTGGACAAGGCCCTATTTTATGGGTGAATAGATGCCCACAGAAAAGTAAGCAGAGACACCGCATAATAGGGGTATCCAACTCCAAAGTTTTAATCCCAATTCCAGAAGGCTGGGCAAAGCCAGGGTGGCTTGGGGCCCTTGGCTCTTCTCCATATCATGAGTCCCATGTCTGGACCTTGGTCTTGGCTTCTCACTCCTGAGTCTTCAGCCCATCGTCTCGGGGTCTAGTTTCAACCTCCTGTCAGTCCTCGGTGGTGACTTCTGCTTAGCCTCCTCCCCATGCCACTCTGAGTAAGGCTACCTTCATAGCCAGTAACTCTTGGGTCTCCTCCAAGGGGATATCAACAGTCTAGGCTGGGACCCCTGCTTTCCATTTCAATTCCCATCACCACAGCCAGTAAAGCCTCAGTCAGGGGACCTGCTTCCTCGCCTGCTGCTTCTACAAGCCCCACTAAGGCCAGGGCCCGCTTCCTAGGGCACTGCCCTTGCCTCAGTGTCCAGCGGGCACAGTGGACAGCCAGCCGGGGTCGGCCCAGGCGGAATACCTCACTCACTGATTCTGGGCTACCTTGGGGTCCCAGGTGGATATGCCCCACAGCCTCTTCCAGCTCCTCCTCCAGCCCAGGCAGCAGGAAACGGCCCGCAGCCTCCAGTGCCTCCTCAACCTCTGAGCCCAGCAGGGGCCGGCCTGGCAGGGGAATGGGCCGCAAGGCTGCTCCGCAGCCCCGGCAGCCATGTAAGTGATGCAGGATAGGCCAGGCTGCACTGGGTGACAGGCCTCGAAGAGGCACTAGGTCCATCTGGGCTTCGGCAAAGCTGCCAGCTAGCAGGGCCCGGAAGAAAGGGGAGGCAGTAGATGAGGCAGCCCGCTGGGCAGGGAGCCGTAGACCTGAGTCCAGCAGGAAGTGTAGATCAGGGGCTGGGCTGGGGGCTGGGCCCAACAGAGGTTCATAGAGGCAAGGGGAGGGCAGGTCTAGGTCCAAGGGGATTGTAGGTGGGAGGGCTGGGCTCACAGTGGGAGACATCAGGCTTTGGAGGCAGGAAAGAGAGTCTGCGGCAAAGAAGAGGAAGAGTGGGTGTGGAGTTGGCCGAGTCAGTGCTGAGAGGAGGAGACGAAGGCCGCCCTGGTCCAGAAGTAGTCGGCGCCATAGAGAGGGCTTCCTGCGAGGAGAAAGAGAATCCTTCAGAAGGTAGAAAAGGAAGGCCGGGGAATCGCAATCTTGCTCCCCTGGTCCCTGCAAGGTACCCATATCCCCCTCACCGACAGATGAAGGGCAGGGTCAATGCACAGGCCACACGGTCCTCAGGACTACCAGAGAGCAGCAGGTGAGTGAGGGCACCCACTCCAAAGGGCGATTCCGCCTGCACAGTCAGGTTCTGCAGCAGCATCTCACCTGCAGGGATGGGCAGAGTAGGTCAGGTTGGGAGCTGGTGTCCAAGATTGGGGTGGGATGGACAAGGCAGGCCTCTGGGCCCCTGAAAGGAAGATGGGTAAAACCTCAGGGCAAGAAAAAAGGACACAGGAAAGGAGGATGCAGGCTCTGGAGAGATGGGGTCCAGTGCCAGGAACTGGAAGTCAAGGGCAGGAACAGTAAGTGGGATGGTCAGGGAGTAAGTCAGGGCCATCATGGACTGCAACAGGACACAGAAGAGGGCAGTCCCTGGTAGTGTTGTAAATGGTGGTGGGGACCTGGGAAGACATGGGATCTAAACCTGGGTTCACCAGTCGGCGACAGTGCAGAGCCAAGTGTAGACTGGGGAAGGAAATGCCAACAGGCACAATTCTAAGTTACCGGGGCCAAGCCTGGTTTGGGAGTATCTGGGCCCCAAGACTTGGGCAAAGTATGGAGCAGAGCATTGGAGGCTGAGACAGTGGAACAGGATGGAGCCTTCCCCTCCTCATTCCTGGTGGCTAGGGTTGTATGGACTGAGACGTCAGAGAGGGAGGAGTTGAGAGGCAAGGTTCTGAGCTTATTGAAGGCAAAAGTGGAAAATAAGGCAGAGAGGTGCAGGGAGACACACCTAGCTCATGGTGCTGGCTGCGCAGGGTGAAGGGCCGGGAACG